TTTTTTTCTGTGTTCTTCTCTTCTCTACGAGACATAAGACATAAGTCATGCGTCTCCTTTTCTTCTCTGCCAGCTTTATGACCAGTTTGTCCGTTGTCTCCCTTCTTCTCTTTCCGTTCTTCTTTTCGTTCTTGTAAACTGGTTATTTATCATCGAATAAAGCGCTGACTCCAAAAAAAATATAAACGAATCATCGAAAAAACGTTAGCTTCATCCGATCGGTGTTTGTCAGTAAATGCTCTGTTTAACGAAACATTTCGTAATTACCATTTACTTCGTCGTATAAAATATTATCACATACCATGCCAGACAAATTCGTCATTGACATGTTTTTACGATGACCAACAATTTTGTTTGTGTCAACAGCTTGATGAACAACGTGTAGCGAATTGCTTTGATTTCGATCGTCATTCGCGTACAATCTGTGCGAGACAAAATGATTGTGAAAACGGAGGAAATTGTTATGAAGAAAACTCGAAATGTCCTAAATATTTCCTATGTGAATGTGCCGAATGTTATTACGGAGTGCGATGTCAGTTGACAACGAATGGTTTCAGTCTTTCACTCGACGCTATTCTCGGCTTTTACATTCATCCGAAAATCAATCTTTTCAAGCAATCAGGCGCAGTTCTGATAAGTATAATTGTTAGTACAGTTTTGATCATTGTAGGACTGGTTAATGGTACTTTGTCTTTGATAACATTTAAAAACAAGAAACTTTGGGAATCTGGTTGTGCAATTTATCTATTAAATTCATCAATAATTGTTTTACTGACCATGATTATATTCACATTCAAGTTTTGGATACTTATACTTACACAAATCGAAACGATCCGGAATAAATCTTTTTTAAAAATTGAATGTATTGGCATTGATTTCATTCTTCGATCATGTTTAGCAATGGATCAATGGTTAACTTCCTTTGTATCGATCGAAAGAACATTTGTTACAATCAAAGGAGTTAGTTTTAATAAGAAACAGGCGCAAGTAGCGGCAAAATATGTCATCTGTGTTCTATTCTTTCTGATAATTGCAACGAATATCCACGATCCCATTCATCGAAGTTTATATGAAGAAAACGAAGATGACGAAAAACGATTTTGGTGTATTGTGCAATACAAATCGACGATTCGTGTACTTGACTATGCTATCAATGGTTTTCATTCGATCGTTCCATTTCTTATCAATATATTATCGGCAAGTGTCATAATAATCATCAAAACCCGTCAACGGAAAGCAGTAGTCGGAGCTGGACAAAATCCTAAATCGGTTTTCAAGGAAGAAATCTACAAACATAAAAATCTTCTAGTTGCTCCGTTCGTTTTAGTACTTCTTGTGATTCCACGTTTGATAATCACATTCGCATCCGGTTGTATGAAACCAACTAGCAACCCGTGGCTCTTCCTTTCGGGATATTTTATCTCATTAATCCCATCAACACTTACTTTCATTTTATTTATTTTACCATCAACTGTATACAGAAAAGAATTTCATATGGTTATCAGCAAATACCATCAAATGTTTCGAAGAAATCAATAACGTCGTTGTTACGCGACGCTCTTCTTTCAAAACTATGGATTCAATTCAATTACAAAGCTTCATGTAGCTTCTCTTAATCTGAAAATTTAAGTAAAAATGCTTGTGCGTTCTATGTTCTAATGTATCCTATTTCAAATAAACAGGTCATTGTTGAATTCTTAAACCGTTTTCTTTTCCTCACAATTTATTCGTGCGATAGGATACACAGCTCAGTTAGTATCTGCACTCATTTATATGCACTAAGTAAATCTCTTAAAGTCGAATCATTCATACAACTCTCAATAAACTTGTATCGCAAAATTCGTCCGCCTTCTTTGTCTTTATCTAATTTTGCTATGAGATTGTCCACTTTTCTTAACAAGACATTATAACTGTCGTTATAATCGATTCCTTTGACATCATACAACGCTTCCATTATGTTCACGAGTTTCAATCGATCGATGTAACCTTGTTGGTCGGAATCGAGTAATGAGAAGATTAACGAAAGCTTTTCAGTTAAATCACCACGACGGATGATACTCACAGCATGCATAAACTCCATGAAATCAATTCGACCGTCGTTATTCATATCATAGGTGCGAAAGAATGTTTCGGTTAAACGTGTTACATTTCCATTTGGATGTAGTTGATTAAAATAGTCGATAAACAGCGTTTTATTCAAACTCGAAGTTAAAAATGATCGATTATTCCCGCAGTTCTTTACAAATGCTCGATACCAGTCAAGAATCTCCGAACGATTAAATCGAGTTTGAAGTAATTGCTTGATTTGTTCATCTGTTAATTGTTGTTCAAGAATTTCATCATTTTCCTTCATTAGTGATTAAAATATGCGCCAAAATTGAGTCTCGTTAGATTTGCATTTCTTCCTATGTGTTCTTTTCTCTAATCTCATTCATCACGCTTGAAACACATGTTATTCGTAGCGATAAATCGATTTATGTATACACGAAACAAGGAAGCACATTTACGTCATCAAATTAAAAATGCGAAAATTTCCAGTCGTCTCACAATACTTACCATCAATTAGTAAATATCTCCACAAGGCATTTTTGTCTGTCAATACATAACAAAATTTGCCAATGAAGGCATTCAATTCACAGCGATTCTTTTTTATTTCTCTGACACTCCCATCCAAGAAAGGAAGAAATTTACTCTTGTCGAACGCTCGACAAATGAGTACCTAGTATGTTACATATATATCATTTTTTTGCTTCCCTGTTTGATAGACATATTCGAAAAAGAGAGCGAACGAAGCAATTTTATACTGAGATTATAGACGTAGTTGGGTAATCTTCGATTACTGCTGAGTAAAATAAGACGTATCGTGTTGAGTAGTGTACCTGAAATTGAATAACTCATTGCGTTTGTAAGACATGAGTTTCTCTCGGGAACTAGAAAATACTTGAAGAATAATGTCAACGTTGTATGGGAGGAAAAAAGACATTTTTTTCTCGGAAAGAGAATTTATTTTGACTGAAGATAGCCGTGTATAGTCTATTGGAAGTTGATATGAAATAGATTTTGAAAATTTTTCTCGCGAGAAGAATCAAGTATCGGTGTTGTGTTTTTCTTTTCTCCTTCTTTCTTTCTTTCTTTCCTCCTCTCCACGAGAATTACGAGAGAAAAAAGCTTCCAAAGTAGAAAATAAACGAGAACGGAGAGAGAAGTCTCATCATTACAATATTCGGCGTATGTATTTTCGTGTTGTATGATTCGAACGTGCAAACAAAATCTGATCTGTGAGTACGTATGTATTTGTGCAGAGAGTTCAATCGAACAGTGTTGATCGATTTATGTATTGGAAGACATGGAATATATAGTAAAGAAAGAATTGAAAGCGATGGTGAGTAAGTAGATGAGAAAAAGAAAGTCAGAAGAGAATGAGCACCTGTAAAATAAAAAAAAACGGAGAAGAGAAAGAATGACGAAGACATTTCTCACTCGTCTTGTATAGAGAGGCTGAACAAGTATCTACACGGCTTGTTTTTAGTCGAATAAAATAAGTAGGTTTGAAATCTTTACAAGCAAATTATTTCATTTTCTACTTAGATAGAGGAACCCACTGAAGAGAATATGGCCAATGCAGTTTACAATCAATCGTCGTTTATTGAGAAACAATTGCCTGTTTTTTCTCAGCGTATTCTTCATTCTTGAATTTATTCATTTGTCGTTTTTTAAACGACATGACTCATTTTCCAAAGAGATTAAGCTTCCATCGATAAATATTCTCTCCAACAATAAATATCAAAAAGCGTCGCCAAATACAAAACTTTTTCAACATTTACAGCCGTTTTATTACCCTATTTCCTGTCAGAATTTATACGAAAGTGACTCGGATGAGTTAAAACATGCGCTCGCGCTTTTAGCTGATATAAAAAATCCATCTAGCATTGCCGATCAGTCGTATAATATTACGAAAGAACAATGTCAGAACTATCGTTCGGAACGTTTTAATGAACAATTTCATCATGAAGACACGCCGATAAATCGCAAGTTTCCTTTAGCATTTTCGATTCTCATGTATGAAAATGTCGAACAATTTGAACGTCTTTTACGTATCCTCTACCGTCCACAAAACGTCTACTGCGTTCATGTTGATAAAGACGCCACATCACACGTTTTACAAGCTGTTAGATCCATTGCTCAATGCTTTGATAATGTCATTCTCGCAAGTAAACAAGAAAAGGTTCTTTATGCAACGTTCTCGCGTTTACAAGCAGATATCAACTGTATGGAAGATCTAATCAAATATCCATCATGGAAATATTTACTAAATGCTGCTAATTCTGAACTCCCATTGAAAACAAACAGCGAATTAGTTAAAATTCTGACTATTTATCGTGGATATAATGATATCGAAGGACGCTGGAAATCAAGAAATGTGCATCGAACAGAATACAGTTGGCAAGTGATTGATACAGCCAGTGGAAATCAGGAACAAGTACCGCAAATACGAAAAACTGATGAAAAGAAAAAACCGCCGCCTGGAAATGTCGAAATTGTTAAAGGATCAGCTTATGGTATGAGAAGGAAAATGTTTCCTTTTCTTGTTTTCTAACCATGCGAATTTTCCTGGTATTTAGGTGCTTTTTCGCGAGCTTTCATTGAATTTGTTCATACGAGTTCAATAGCAAAAGAATTATTAGATTGGTCGCGTGATACATACAGCCCTGATGAACATTATTGGGCAACATTGAATTATAATACACACTTACATCCTCCGGGAGGTTATAAAGGTACGTATAATTGAATAATTGAGTAGTATGAACAATCTCCACAGAGAACTCTTTCAGCATCGAGTAGACGTATTTTTCTTCTGTTTTCTTTTAGCAAAAAGTGATCCGACTAATTGGACAGCACGATTCGTGAATTGGGGCGAACGAAATTGTTACGGACGTATAATACGTGGTATATGTGTCTTTGGTACAGTTGATCTACCGACCTTATTCAATCGTCATGAACTATTCGCAAATAAATTTCACATCAATGCTGATCCTATTGCTTATCAATGTTTAGAAGAACTTCTAGTAAACAAATCGAAGCTTGATCTGCCATTGAACGACGCGACATTCTATCGTCAAATGCCATTTTTGTTACCGACTTAATTTATTTTGTTATGAAAATTTTCTCAGTAATAAACATAAGTGTGATCTCGACCCGATCAACATGGGTGACTGAATTTATTTGTAACATAACAAAAGAACATATAATCTGACCGAAAACAAGAGCATGGTTTTTGACATTGCGTGAATAAATGATAGCGAAGATTCAAGATTGCATTCGATTTGACATTCATATTTAATTATTGACTTGAGTTTGGCGTAATCATTTCATTTAATAAGATATCAATTTGTTCACATGTTCGCTCAATCGTTTGTGATGCATCGATGATCTTCACAGGACACATATTGAAGTTTTTTATGAATTTGTCGTAATGATGTTTAAGTTCTTCGAGACGTTTTAAGTCGACCGATGATTCGGATTGTCTCGATCGTTTAACAATTCGTTCATAACATTGTTTAGGTGATAAATCGAAGTATAATATAGCTGTTGATGACAGATCGATTGTTTTTTCCAAACCGTATTCGTAATGATCCTGAAGAATACGATATTCAACGTCATTTAAATAGTTTTGTTCACGATCGTGGTCGATAAATACGTTGAAACAACTCAAAATCGAACGTTCGTAGATATTTATATGATGACTCGATCGTGAATTCATATGGTTTCGAATTCGTGAGAGAAGTGCAGTTAATTCGAATGTAAATGTCCATCGAGTACTTTCCGTGTACAGAGCATTGAGAAGATCAAAACCTTTGATATTCATCCAGTTCTCAACAGGTTCACAATGAACTTGAACAAGATTCGATGGATATTTCGATGCAATATAAGACATAATCGTTGATTTGCCAACACCAATATTCCCTTCGATAAGAATTGTTTTGATTAAATTCAACGAAGACATCTGAAATAGTGAAAAAAAATGTTTTAGAGAAGTTGTTAACAATTCGTCGTTAGTTTTTCTCAAATAAGCGTATTTGGGCGCACATCATATCTTTACACGGTGCGACCTGTCGTACGAATCGACAAGATACAAGATCATCATTCACATTCGGCATAATCGTTTTCAAACGAACTCGGACGTCTTCAATACGATCATCCGCTCTAGAAAATGTGTAACAAAAGATATGAATTGGTACTATCCATTGTTGTTTTTCTTCAACATCTCTTGATAGCCATTCGGAAACAACGTCCAAAAATGTTAGCGCAAGCTCAGGTAAGTTCATAAGAATAACAATTTTCTTATTCAATGCCATATTCTCCGACAGATTCAAACTTTCCTTCTGACAGATTTCGATTTGAGGTAATGCAATTGTTTGTAGAAAATCTCGACCATCAAGATTATAGATATGATATTCTCTCGGTGATTTTTTTGGTTGATTCTTTTTCAAATTGACTTGCATCCATCTGTAGCATTCGGGATTGATATCATTCGCACAACCAGTACAACCAAGCATCGACGCAGGAACAACAAACGGTCCAACTCCAGCGAACACGTCGATAACGAGATCATTTGGACGAAGAATTTCAAAAATACGTTCGCGTTCAGTACCTTAATTAAGCTNTTAAAACTATGAAGAAACAGTACTGAGACACATAGTCACCGATTTTTTCACTTACTCTTTCAAAAGTCTTTTTCGAATATCAATTTCCAATTCTACAAATGGATCTTCGAATATTTGATAACGAAATCCATTCTTTTTCAAATCAGTTTTACAAGTAGGACAAAAGCCTGTTCCTTTACTGAACTTATTTTCGACGCAAGTTTCACATCTACAGCAAAGAAATAGTTGGACACCCTTGCAACGTCTTTCGGCAACATACAATGAATGTCCACATTTGCTGACCATCAATTTCATCTTGGGATTTCGCTTTTTCGTCGAATGACATTCTGGACATTCGATTTCCATCTGTAAGAAGAAGAAGAGAGAGAGAGAGAAAAAACAAAGAAGCATGATAGTGATAACAAAATTTATATGCATGTATTCCTTTGATCAATTATTTTTTCACGAATAATAACATTACACGAAGAGACAAGAAAAATAAAGAGGAGAAAGAAGGAAAAAATTTAACAGATAGAAAAAATATATATCACGTATTGTGCTACGTAAACAAACTCGACATAGATTTCGAAGTCAATAATGAACCAAAAAAATATTTTAATAAGTAAGAAATACTCAATATTAAAGAGTGTTCACTGGATAAAAAGAAAAGAAAAATAAATATGAGTTGGACAGCATTGAAAAGGAAAGAAGATCGAATCATTCTCTACGATTGAGATCGCCGCTTGGTTGGTGTGCTCAATGGGGTCAAGCCACGATTGGTTTTGCGTTTATCAATTAAGTCTTCAATGCGTGATAGCGGACGACGCTGTACAACAGTTGAATCATCTGGAATATCGAGAGTCCTTTTCTCGACAGACGATTGGATGTTTCTAAAGAGAAAAAAAAATACGTAGTGTTCTGATATGTTTCCTTGGAAAAACAGAGCAAAACATGCAATTCATCATCCCGTGTGTCAATATGTATGAGCGTGGTTATGTCAATGGAGCTACCTGCCGCCGATATGCGATACACGGAGATGAACCACGTGTTGGTGATGAACCACTTTCAGCAGCTGCCATGAGGAAATCTTCGGTAGAATCATATCGCGCAGGAAAACGGCGGGAAGATGTACGGACAAAATATTGTGAAGTAGACATTAAATTTTGACTAAATCAGTATTTAGGGGATATTGGATTTACGTGATATTCTTGTTTCTTTCATCTTTCTGATAGGAAATACTTACGAAGTTTTAGCAGCTCTTGCAGCCTGTTCACGCCATGCACGTACTTCTTGAAGGCATGTCTAAGAAAAGCGAAGGACTGTAAGAGAAATATTGACGTGATCAAATTGACATACCGAAAAAAACGAGCAGAATGATTTGAGATCCGTGAAAAATTCAGTGAGTGAATAACTTTTTTGGTCGATCGCCAAGAAATCGCATAGATCTTGATAAGCGTGAGTCATTTCTGTATCTAATTGTTCCAATCGTGTCACATCGTCATCAGCTCGAGTAATAAAATCCTGGAAAGAACAACAACAACAAGAGTAAACAGAAAAGTTTACGATCGATTGATGAAACGAACTTCGATTGATTCGGCAAATTTATCTCCTTCAATTTGTTCATCGACATTTTTTGCAATAATTAATTCTTCTCGAGCGTTTTTCAATTCCCGATTGATATCCTTCGGTTGTTTTTGTAATTCCAGGATATTAACTAAAATATCAAATCGTTTCTTTTTCTTGAATTCAATTGATCGGATTTTACTTTTTGAGACTCCATCCGCTAATGCGTAGAATTCATCGGCAAACGAGAGTAAATCACGATGTTTGTCTTCGATTGCTTGAACAATGAAATGAAGTAACGATCGACGACCATCATTGGCTTTGGTCGAATGAAGCTATTCAAGATGAAGTTCAAATGAAAGGAATCGAAAAAATTTGTTCAAATCTACTTTAGGCAAGAAACTGATGTCAAATCCGTGGATAGGTTCGTATGATTTCGCACTGGAATTCATATAATTTCCAACAGTTAAAATCAATTCGAGCATTTTCTTGAACCGTAGGGAATGTCGAACATGATCACAAGCTGTTCGAACTTCAACGAATGCCTAGAGAGAACGAAAGAGAAAAACTGAAGTGCTTTTATTTGCCAATTAGATGAACAAACTTTATCTGTTTCTTCCACGGTTTCCTTGTAACTAGCTTTGAATAAAAGGGTTTTCAATCGTTGTTTCAACCGTTTAATATCACCAATCTAGATAAGCATAGAGTGATGAGTGTGGTGGATTCGAATGAGGTCTTACTGCACAAATATATTGTTCTGAATATTGCAAATCATTGATTTCATTTTTAAACTCAGATAAAGTCTTTAGTTCTTCAGCTGTCGGGAGATACTTCTCGAGTTGTTTGAGAAAATCATCTTTTAATGCTTCATTATCACACGATAGCATCCATTCACGAAATACTGTTGGCGGTGCTTTCAGTTGACTGAACATAATAGCTAGAAAAACATATGATTGAGTGACTTATTCTACTAGGAAAGGAAAACGAGTCATTTTTACCGAAGTTTTGTGCAGCTTTTGAATCAAGTACACGTAGTTCTTTTGATTTGTCGACAAGATCGTGTATTGGTTGTCTAGCTAGAAGAAAATTTAGATTGAAATTCTCTTGCAAACTGAATTGTTAATGTCTGTTTTTACTTGGTGCAACTTTGCTCGCAAAATTTTTTCGGATGTCCGAAAATAGTTCGTCACTGATGTACTTTTCTTCGTCGACGTGAACCCACATCGAATCTTTCTTGATAGTATGAGGATTGATCTAAGACAAGAAGTCTTAATTATGAGTACTAACGAAACAAAAGAATACACTAACTTTACTCCATTGAACTTTCTTAACTGATTCCGTGATAGCATATTTTTGTTTCTTACGTAAATATTGTGGTAGCTGAGGTGGACCTAGTTAGTTGATCGAAGTCAAAATAAACATTCATATGTACTTTTACGTACCACCGAAGGCAGGCATCATTGGAGGTGGAGGAGGAGGTCCACCACCAGGACCCGTCGACACTGCACCCAAACCGGGTAATGGTGGAGGTGGTGGTGGACCACCGAAGCCTGGAAATGGTGGAGGTGGAGGTGGAGGTGGCGGTGGACCACCGAAACCTGGAAATGGTGGAGGTGGAGGTGGCGGCGGACCACCGAAACCTGGAAATGGTGGAGCAGGTGGAGGTGGTGGTGGTCCCCCAAAACCGGGAAACGGCGGTGGCGGTGGTGGTGGACCGGTTGAGCTTGGAACTGAAGATGGTGGTGCAAAAAACTCTGGAAATGGTGGGGGTGGGGGTGGTGGCGGTGGTACTGCACTTGTATTCAACGACGCTGTGGCATCAACAAAGAAAGGTGGAGGCGGGGGAGGTGGTGGTATCGTTGAGAGTGACTTGTTCGTTCTATTCAAGATCGAAATGAATAAGAAAAAGTACTTTTATATTCACTAAACTCACATGGAAGGCGACGATATTTTAGACGGTTTGAAACTTTCTTCGACTTGAATAACCAGATCTGATAATAATGAACATACATCATCAGTGATCTTTTGGTGATGTGACGAAGGTGATGAAATCGGCGAAACAATTGGATTTCGATCTGATATTGCTGCTAATTTGGATTCATTCATACAAGCCGCTGAACTCAAAGTCTGCATACAACAACAAAAAACTAGCATAACTTTGTAGATAAATAAATTCACGGATTACCTTTTGCAGTTCGGCATCATCTGTGCTGTCATTACTATTCGAATTTGTACATGGTTTGATTTGTTGAGGGAATATTTGTGAAGTGGGAGCTTTTCCATCACAGTTAGATGCTAACCATTCAAGCAATAACTCACCTAATCAATATACAGAGTACATAGACAGAGGTAATTCGAAATGGATTACTTGAAAATGTAGCATGATTATTTTTAAATGATAATGGAGGACGAATGATGAGTGATGATGAATGAACATCATCATCAATGGGCGACGAGGTTTCACTACTATTATCACATGATAGTAATTTATGCATGGCTCGTCGAACAGTGATTTCATCATAACAATGTGTTGATGGAGATGTCGGTTCACAATCCGATTGAGAATTGGAAATGATTGAGACTGGCATTGGTTTTAATTTAAATGTTAAACATTTCTATAAAAGACACGTAGAAAATGAGTTCTTCTTTAAACTAGTCACCTACTTACCTTGAAATATGGAATGAGGGGTTGATCGAGTTGATCGGTTTGAATCGATTGTTCAATCTTTTCTCTGTCGAGGACTGGATCAACTTGCGTTGACACAGTCTTTCGCTCAGTCGAATGTCTATTGATGTGCAAACCGTATTCGTTCTAATCATTAGATGATTTATTTACAATAAGCAGCGAAAACAAAACAAGACCTACTCGGAGAATATCCAAAATAGTAGTTGTTGCCGATGGTCTATGCTTATTTTCCTTGTTTTCGTGCAGATGACGATTAACTATTGAACAGAAGGATACCGACGTTTATTTCAATGTCTTAATTCTGTGTTTTTTTTTCGTTTATAGGAGTGAATATCGATAGAGAAAGAAGAAGGTGAAAAAGCGTGATATTCGCTATTGCTTAGTACAAAAATATGAGAAGATAGAGCGAATAATTACAGCAGCAATGATTTCCTTCGGAGAAAAATGCAGTGCACGGTGAAGAAGGAATGCTAGAGTGCGTTATAAGCACGGTAAAAGAGCAAACGACAATGATACTTGCTTGCCTGTCTTTCTTTTGCTTCTTCAGTCACACTTAACTGACTAGAATACAAAAAACCGATATCGACACGATATCCTTGACTGTTAACATCAACATCGAAAGCTTCACGTTTTGAATTACAACCATCTCGATTAGAGACGATCGATCAGAGAAAAAGCACATTTCGAAAACTTACAACTATTGTTCGTCTTTGGCGGTGGTGGTAATAATTTGACATCAGCATCATCATCATCTACGTTATTTGCCCAAGAATACAAGTTTTGCGTCTATTTGAAAAGAGAAAATGACAATATGATTACGAATAATTGATCTCGTATTAGAAAACATGAATCAGATTTACAATGAATCATCAGTGCTAAAAATTCAAGACTTATTATGACTCATAGAAATGGTTGCTTGTCATAACAAGTGAATTCTTGTGTCATACAATCTATATCGCGCTTAGTCATGAAAACGACACGAATGTAATCAGTAGATTCTTACGATAGTTGTTCGATCGGCGCACATTACATGAAAGAAAAGCGATGCTCCTTGAAAATGTTTTAATTAGCATTATTCGCTTCATTTTTTTTGTCTGCATCCTTCATGCTTGTTTCTTATTCTCTTCGGCATGTTTCAGCTGATTTTGTTAATTGAACGAAACGTGTAGACAACATTCGAACATATTTCGATGAATAGAATTATAACATCGGTCGACAACTGATGAGCATCGCGACACATTCAATGTCAAAGGTTATATAATAGTCGTCTCCAGACACCTATATTATTTAATTGGACTTGGAAATAAATATACGCAGACAGTTTATCAAGGTCTTGCTCATTCTTTTCAAGGTAAAACTATTAACAACAACGCTTATGAACTTATTGATTTGATACGAAAAGAAATCCTCAATTAAAATGGATTATTAACCTTGAATGTCTCTTAGTTGATAGCGTCTTTTCGGAAAGATAAATTGATGTCTATGGAAGTCAATTTTGATCGAAGAGAACGAAGAGGGAGCCCGAATGATGGAAAATAGATCAGCGATGTTTCGATTAGGTGCGTTCAGATTACGATGGTTTGTCGCAGAAAGAAAAATGTGTCTGTCAAGTAATTTATGACATTCACACATAAAAAAAAGCGTTGCTTATCGAGTCCAAATTATGTGGATATCATTGATCGTTTTTGCTGCTTCTGTACTCAACGAACGACAATATAATACTATTGATTACCTTCACTTTCGCGCAAGGTTCTCTATATTTTCCTCTGTACATGGTCATCTCGAGTGAAAAAGGGAAACTTAGGCATTATTCATACTTGAAATAGATCGGCGTTTTGATCAGTTTCAGTTCGAAGTACACCAAGAGATATGAGACATTTACAGCATTTTGCTAAAACTTGTTTTAATGTCGGCGGCTCTCCTCGGCCTTCGAAATGAACCATCAACCAATCGAGTAATAATTCGCCTAGAACATACTCATCAATCATGATATTATTCTTTGCAAATGTTTACCGGAAAACTTCGTATGTTTATCATATTGCAATGCTGGATGAATTAATATGGGAGATAATGAATCCTCCGGATAAATGCTACATGTCGGTGGTTGTTCATAAGGACTATCATCGATACCTGACAATGGCGATGATTTCTTATTCGAACCACCAAAGAATCTTCGTAGAACATGTCGAACATAATTAACGTTATTAAGACGCCTATCACTTAATGTTGATGGACGTCGATGGTCAGTGTTACTTTCCATTAGTATTGGAATTTCAGTATCAGGTGTTGCTACTGCTGATGAGGATAGATGAGAATGGTAGATGGATTTTGACATGATTGATATTTATATATTATTTAATGCGATGACGTACGGATGATGGAATTTTGAGTTGACTCAGTAAATGTGGATGAGAAGGAGGAGATAACATATTTTAACGAACAAAACTAAACTATTCTGAAATGGAATTTCAATATACACACATTCGTTTGGAAATCGATGAACAAATGACAGCAATGGAAAAGAGAATAACATTGATTGTGGCGATGAATATCATCCTGAGAAGATTAGTTATTGAGCTAAAGAAAAAAAATTTCGATTTTTACGTCAGATTTATCCAGTGAGAAATAGCGGACAAATTTTCATCAAAAGATGTCCTTGGATATTGAATCAACGAAATTTATTGCCCGATAGATTAACCAATGGAATTTCAATGAAAAGTATATGATATGATATAATTGTCAAACAATGAATTAGAATTCCATCTATGTTTCATTCAAAATCTCGAATACCGATTAGGATTTCTACGACCATTTTATGAAATATTCAATATGGCTAAAGATATGGAAGCAAACCCTGGCCAAAGTGATACAGCTGAAACGATTCGTGAAGGTAGAAATCAAGTTTTCTCAAAGCTTTTCAATCGCTTGTTGCCTAATTTAGATACAAATGACATCGGCAGTGAAACAAAAGAGTTAGTCATCGAAGCCAAATCAAGTCTCGTCATACTGATTTGCGTGATTTTGATTATGTCGTTACTATCCATTTTGTTGTCAACGTGGCTTGCAAAAACAATTACTCATACGCAATCATCTTTTGGTACAATATTAGGTCGATATTTTGGTTTCGATCGAAACGAAACAGAGACAAGTTTAACATGGTGGACGCCGTTACATGCTCGAATAGTCGAGATGACATCTCGAAATTCTCCAATAAATAAAACTCATTCAAAAACAGTAAAAACGTCAGCTTCATCGAGACCCATTCAAATTCCTTACGACGATTATCCGAAATTTCATACGATTGTTTTACCGTTATTTTTTGTTGGCGCGATTATACTCGCTGTTTTAGCTTACTATGCACGTATTAAATGTACGGATCGTGGTTTTGCTTGGGGTGCTGTACCAAGTCTTCCATTGGGACGTGTCGATCCAAAAGCTGCAGTCGTAGTGGCAGCGACGGCTATTAAAATGAAAGAAGCTGAACCAGGTATAGATTATACGATTGTTCAGGGTTCGAAAGAAGAGCCAGTCGTATTTGCACTGGCTGATACGCTACAACCATTGAATGAAGAACGTGAGCCAGGTGTGATTGTTGATGAAGGAACTCAATATGAAATTGAAGATATTCCAAAGTAAAAATACAAACATTCACTTTTTGTAACCCCCCTATTTTCGGTTTTTCATAGAGTTATTACTCGTGTTTCATCTGCACCTGATCTTAATTCGAATGTTCAAACAGTTCCGTCATCTGCATCATCTTCCAATGAACAACACCATATGATTGAACTATTACAAAGACAACCGTTACCTACTCTATCACCATCTACATAGTATTTTCATCTGTCTACTTGTGGTCTTGCAGTGAATCTTGTCAATTTTGAAGCATCTGTAGATTTAGCTGAAACTTTTTCTGTACATACTGTTTCTTTTTGTTTCATTAATATTAGTCAGTATTAATGTATTTTATTTCAAACATAGTACACTTTATGAAGCAAAGACAGAGTCTAGCACTGATATCTTCGAAATAATCATTACTCGGCAGGAATTGTTATTCTTAAATTAATCTCGTTCAATCATCAACCGATCGCAAACAAAATAGAGAGAATTTGTTTCTTTTTGTCGATACAGCTGCCTGTCTTTTGCTAATTATGCGACATTACGTATGAATACGGAACCATCAGGTTAGACAGCATGTTATACAGAACGAAAAAGTTCATCTCATGCTGTGGTGCACACAAAAACTGATAATTATTACGTAAATCAACAATTGTCTCTGTGTTGATCTTATTAAAAGGTGTGTTGACATTTTCAAGAGGTCACTTGAATCTATATCTAACGAAAAACGAAGAGAGAAAATAAAAAAAAAGAATGTTATGTTTAGTTGCTCAATGAAGCTAATGATGATCGAAGACTAACTGTGTCTACCTTGACTACCTGCCGCGTCGAGCGAAGAAGAAGAAGAAGGTGTGTATGTGTCTACGTATTTTGGAATTCTTCATATTCAATCAGCACCTTTCGACGAAAAAAATGTCATGTTCTTCCTTCATACTCAATTAGTGAAAGTATAAAGGATTAAAACAGCGGATGATCTTCACTTTATCATGTTCATTAGATTGTTATTTTTTCGATGTTATTCACTTTTCTCTCTTCTCTCATTGCTTTATGTAAGGCTATTTGCAGATCACGACTTTCTCCTTCCTTTCTGTCTCCTCTCACTTGTTGACAACAACCAAACTACATCTATTTGCCAAGTGTTTTTACCTTCATTCGAAGAAACAAAAAATCGATAGACAAGCACGCGCGTAAATGGTGTCGAAGGGCGGCGTCTTCGCCTTGCCTTCGTCTCTCTCTCTTTCTCCATCATTGTTTATTTGGAGTTTTAACTTTATGTAATGAAGATATGTATACATATATGAGAAAGACAGAGAATTGTGATTGATTGACTTTCGTATATACGAATATATACTACGCGTGCATCAAAATGCATATGTATATCGTGTCTTTAGTAAACAAATATTGAACGAAGACTAGATGACCAAGACGAACGGATGGATATCCAAAATAAATGTATTTTTCGATTATATAAATTTGTAATAATGAAAATGTTGGCATTTTACTTTTTCTTTTCTTTCATTTCATTGGATGGAACGACAAGTGCGCAAATTGCAATATTTCATTATTTTTTCATTGGTTCAATTTTGATCATCAACAAAAACTTGTCAGATCATTCACATAGGTATAAATATACTCTTCTTGTTCTTCGTTTACTTTTCATGGCTCTTCAGCTGACACTGTTCCCTAAATAATGGCACACTTATATCGGAACTACGTGAGCAAGCAAACGAGAGGGATACAGAGAGGTGGATGCAGAAGAAGAGAGCAAGAGAGACAGGAAACGGAAACGAAGCTTCACCATCATCAGCGCCAGTTTTTTTTTTATAATTGCGCACTGACTGGTTGATAGTGGCAGGAGTAGCACAGTCAGTGCGCTATGCGATAACAACGACATTCGAAGAGCCTATCAGAATACGCCTAAGTATTATCGTGCGTGTGGAAGAAGAGAAAGAGCAGAAGCACGAATAAAAAGTGAGAAAATATATCTGGCAAGAGAGAGAGAAAAGAAGAGAAGAGAGAAAGAAAGAGCGAACGAGAGAAGAGAAAGGAAACAAGAAAGAGAAGAAGAAGAACAAGAGTATACGAAGGAAGACGATACTCCCACATCCAAATAAGAGAAAATGATGATGAGTAGTAATACTACAAGCAATATTGCTGACGAGGAAACAATGACTGGTAAGTTTTTAACTTTGAAATCATCGAATGAAGACTAGAATTCGTATTTTCGTCTCTCTTAGAATCAGATAATCGTAAGAGTTTCCTGATTTCCAGTTTATTATCTGCAGCATCGTCGTCTGAATCAATGGTGGAAACTGAAGAAGACGATGAAGAAGAAGGTATGCTGCATGATGACGATGATGATGAAATAGTCAAAGAATTAGAACATAACGATGAAGATGAAGCAGAAGAGAATAACAACAATAATCCTAATCCAAAACAACCAATTCAATTGACACAAATCCCACACCGAGCATTTCCAAAGACGTCACCATCATCGACGCTTTTTCCACGCTTAATGTCTTCAAACGATTTTTCCTATCTCTATTATCTTAGTTACCATTATTTTGCTATGCAAATGTCAAAAAATGGTCAAATATCATCGACACCATTACCATTATCTCATCCAACATTACTAAATTCAAATATAAATTCATTAAAGAAACCTCTGAAATCATCCTATCCGTTAACACCAACATCTTCATCATGTTCATCATCACCACCATCGCCGAACTTAACCAACGCAACAACATCTACCTCGCTCAATTCATCTAGCACTAATTCTCGCTATCAATGTGATGGATGTTCCAAATCTTACTCAACATTTGGTGGCCTTTCAAAACACAAACAATTTCATTGCGTTGCCCAAATTAAAAAACAATTTCAATGTAAATTCTGTGAAAAAACGTATAACTCATTAGGTGCGCTTAAAATGCATATACGTACACATACATTACCATGTAAATGCAAGATTTGTGGCAAAGCATTTTCACGTCCATGGCTTCTGCAAGGACACGTACGTACACACACAGGAGAAAAACCATTTCAATGTGAAATCTGTTGTCGAGCATTTGCTGATCGATCGAATCTCCGCGCGCATATGCAAACACATTCGGATATTAAAAAATACCGGTGTAACAATTGTTCAAAAACATTTTCACGTATGTCATTACTTAACAAACATACGGAAAACTGCTTACAGCAACAGCAGCAGCAGCAACAACAACACGCAACGACGCATTCTTCGACTGATGATTGTACCAGTACATCAATGCTTGTGCCTGCTGCATTTTCGATTTAACATATTCTTCAAGTATTTGGCAAGTATTTTGTCTTGTTGTTGTGTTCCCTATTCATCTCTGTTGTATTTTCAATTGTTGTGTATTTATTGGACTAACTGACCTTCACAAACATTTTTTTGTCACACAATCTCTTTTTTTTTCTTTTCACATTAAAAAGAAGTTTATCAACAGAAGAATATCTTCTCTTCTCTTGCTCATTTCAATGTTCTCAAGCAAATTACTGTATGAAAGAAATCAATGGTATGAGTTCTAACTATTCAATATTCTCTCTTTCCTTTTCTTCCCTTTTTTAACCCATTTTTCTTGGAGTCCGACGCTGCACTTGAATGAGCGATCTGGCAGGAAATGAACACTTGGGTCGTGCGGCGCGAACTCAATACCTGTGCTGTTTAGTGCTCTCACTTTTCTATCGTATATTTCAGTGTGAAGTACTTTCGTTTGTACCACCGTCGGGACGACAATGGATTGTGCTCGACGGACACACACGCACAAAAAAAAGGAATTTCCGTCTCGGTGAGCTTCCCGCCGTCCGTCAATTTTATCTTCTTCATCTTCTCCTCCAACTTCTTCTTTATTTCGATCAATAGTTAGAGTCTTCGTGTGACAAGTTGTAATTGTTGTTAGTTTGCGCAAGGCTTAAGATTCACCGCCATGATCATAGCCGGCGACAATTGTTGTTAGTGTCCTGTTGACATACTTTGTGTATGCAAGAGTCAGATAGTCACTTGACCAATGTACATAGATGTAAATCTATGTGTGTACGTCATTATCGTTTTTTTTAGTCAGGAGGAAATCTATCGTTTTCTGAGTACAAACGACTTATGTGATCATAAATCACTTTCTTCTTTGGCGATCTATATCGATTTGCATCTGTACATATATGCATGTCTATATTCTGCAAAAAGAAAAGAAAGAAATGGCGAACAACCGTTAAATTGAACATAAGCATAGTTCCGCTTTAATGACTGTTAATGATGAGAAAACAGACTTTTCAATTGCTGCCGCTTCCGCAGGTTGGAAGAAAATTGAAAAACGAGTGCATGTCTGTTTGTGATATCCAGATTCGATTGATTTAGATCGACGTTTATTCCATATTCCACCGAAAAGGAAGAGAGTGGCGAAGATAACCTGCTTGACTTTATAGACTGGATAATATGACTATATACTCATTATTCAAAGCTAATGCTATTACATCTTCGATTATGGTGATAATGAGTAGAGAAAAGCATATGATAGAGAGAAAGAGGAGGTGCTCTGTTCGAAGAAGAAGAAAGATGAGCAAGCACATTATCCGCAATATGCAAGAAGGGAGAGCGAGAGCGGCAAGCCTGAAAGGAAATAAATAGATCTCATCATTTTCTTCCATCATAGCTGTTTGGTCGTTGTCAGTGCCCATAATTGTTTATACTTATCAACACTCCAGAGACGAACAAGTATCGATTTATTTTGCCCTTTTGCCACTGTCATTTGGCAGCTTTTGCTTAGTCCCAACCTGCTTCTCCTCTTTCCATTTTCTCTCTCTCTCGACCAGTAAAAGTTGTCTAGTATTATTATCATTATCATCAGCAGCAGCAGCAACGGTTGATTCGTGCAATAGGTTCATGTGAGCGCGTCTGCTGGTGTTATTGCAACTGATCACTTGGCAAGAACGCATGCAAATACTGTTTATCATACATATACACATACAGAGGGAAAAGGGAAAGGGAAACATATAAAATGAGAGAGAGAGAAGGAGAAATGTTCGTTGATTGACGACTCGTGTGTGTCGAACACGTACAATAACCGATGATGACGAGTCAAAAAAATTAACTTGTACACATCACATCTTATCGACGTGCTTTCCTATCACGATACACAACCTGTATAACGATGATGAGCATCTGTAACTAAAGAGAAAATGAATGGTTTGCGTTACAATACTACGTGAGAATTTTTTGAGTGATATACCAGCCTGCAACTACTCATGTGAATTGTCTTTCATCTCGATTGCAACGACTCGTTTAATGGCAATGATTCTTCCTTCATTGGAGTTCATCATAATTTCTCTTCTTTTTTATTTATATAAAATTCCCAGCGGAACGACAACTTCCTTCTTATTTCTCTCCCGTTTTTCTCCTTCGCTATTTGATGTTAACCAATCGTAGGTTCAGGATGAATGATAATTTTTTCGATTTCTTATTTCAAATTACTTCAATGAGCAGTTAGCCGAATAGAACTGCTTTGATGATGTACTTATTGTTCAATCGATATTGCCTTTTTGATTATACGATTGATAATGGATTGTTGCCAGAATGAAGAATGTACGCCTGGAATAGAATGAGAATGAATAGATCTATTTAGCACGTGGAACAGTAGCTATGTCTGAGAGGAAGAACGTATGTGTGCCCGAGAAAAGGAGAGTGGCGCCTTTCTAATTATCATTTGACATATAGCACAATCGTCGAGTAGAAACAAAATGGGACATTGGGCTTGATGATGACAAGCGTCATCACTTTTACTATCATCGAATAAGCTGTTGTTGTAATTTCATTGGCATAGAAGTTAGTGTAAACATTTTGTCTTTCAACACTTGTCTTGTCGTCGCCGTGGTAGCCTGGCTTTCATATGCTCGTTTTGTTAGGATAAAGAACATAAGACAAAAAAATCGTTGTTGAGTAGCTAACATTTACATCTAGCGATATGCGAAAGTCAGAGGAAAGGGCATTATACATAATCATCGTTGAAATCATGGATAATTATTTTGAAAATCCAATTCAATAATAGATTGGACGAATACATCGCTCGTACTGAATATCCAGGACCTGGCTCTCTTAGAATGCAATATGATCAATTTAGTCGATCTGAAAACCTTCAAGACATGTTAATTTAAGAGACACATTTCATGCGTGCTTGATTTGATATTTAGTTTCTTTCTTTCTTTCTATTCGACATGGAGACATGTATATCGGCACAAAGAGACCGATGACATTGCTTGTTCTTCTGCTCGTCCTAGTTAGTTTTCCTAATATATATATATGCGTATCTATTCTAAAAGGTCTATGTCTATCAAGCAGAAAGGTGCATATTGGCGTGAAAAATGACTTTCTAATGGCACTCCCACCACACCAGCTTAGCATCAGCAATAACTAAGCAGGCGTGGATTTGTTCTGCACATACACATAATAATTTCGTACACAATTTTCTTGACATTGCTTGCCGCTCGGTCTCGATTAATCATTTTTTTTTGTTTCACTTACAACGGAGACGAGTTCTCCATATGGATAAAAACAAAGTCAAAAGAAAAGAAAAGAGAAGAGAAGAGCGGATCTGTCCAAATGTGTATTTGATGCTTTAAATCTGCACAGAAATGAGCAACATCTCTCAACAGGTGGCTCTTCTCCAAACAAATATTCGTATATACATATACAGAGCGGTTACCTAAGCAAAACTCGTGCATACATTGCTCTGACGGGATAAAAAGTGAACGGTCGTCATCTGAAATGTAAACACATCAATTCATCATTCGTCCATCAAGATGATACATTCTCTTGACTGCTGCTTATGCTGTCCTTCATAATTTGCAAAGAAGAAAGCGCTTGATTCCAACATGGAATCGAAGATCTTGAAATAACAACTATTTCCATCTTTTCTCTCTCTCTCTCTCTTTTAAATCAAATCGAGGCGTTTTCTCATCAGTACATTGCGATCTTTCAATTTTTTTTTCATTCCACCCCGGAAGACCTACTACTAATTAAATGTATATGAAAAGAAAAACACCAATCGCAGAACATGGTCTTGTTATCACCTCCGATTGATCTTTCAAGTCAATGCACCGCATGCATGTAGAGATATCTCTGTGTGCGTGTGTATATGTATATGCTTGAACAAATTCTACTTGGAAATAACATCGAGGACAGTCAGCAGAAGCACCAGCAATGTATTTCGATGTTAATGATAAGTTGATGAGAAAAAGAAAAGAAATTAGTACTAGTTCATCCAGTAACAGGCATACCATGGTCGTTATCTAATGAATATGGGTGTAGAATGTCGGCTAATTATATTCTAAGATTTTCACAGATTGAACAAAGGCGAATACATAGATCAAAAGAAGAGGAATGAGTTGTTTCTTTTCTGTTCATCATCATCAGCGAAGTAACACCAGCGTCATCACAGATAACATCTTCTCGTTTGGAAAGAAAAATTCATTTAAGCTCAGCTTTGTTTCATGTTGATACAAATCGGTAGCGGCAGAATGTTGTTCATTGGATTTGTTTTTCAGTGCCGACGCACGCGTGTGTGTCGAGATGTCTTATCAGATCGGACATTGATGATGACGAACTTTTCAAGACACAAGAGATTTACAATTGATCTATTCGTGTGCGACTGTACAAATATGAGAACATGATCAGATTTCTTTTTCGAAAGAAAAATATAAACAAATCATTTATGCATTGATTCGTATTGGATGGAAATTTTCAATTTCGAAAAGAGTCTCGCGAGATGAAAGCAATAATTAATTACAATTGGAAAAGGAAAAGTTGAAAATTAGAATCTTATTATCCGCGAGAGCTGAAATGAATTCATTAAAAACATTCGAAGTAAACCACGGGTAAATTGATCACGTGTTACCAGCATGATATCGGATTTGAACATGCGTAATAACAAAGAAAAGAGTTTTCCCCAGAAAATTGACGACAATTAACAAATCCGTATTAAAAACGCCTTTCGATTACAAATGAAAGGTTCTAGACTACAATTTTCCGAGAAATTAGAAGTTGGAAGTATATTCTCAACAAGACTTTTCAATAAAGATTTTAGCCTTGTATCAACATACTACATAAGAAATCTCGATTAATCAAGTGCTTTAATTTGCGTGGATTATAATCTTTTCGTGAAACACCGACATACGCCAGAGAGTGCATTTGACCTATTGCCTTAAAACAAAATATGTCGTGGCTGTTACAAGTGAAATTTTGGCTGTTACTTACTCTAGCGATTCCATCAACGATTTGTTCGATCTTAGTTTTCATTTATTTTTTTCGACGATGGAACAGGCTTACACTCGATCATCATTTGACATTAATTCTCGTGACAGTGTGTTTTATCCAACTGACAACGAATTTTCCGTTTATTATAATTTATAATCATTTTAACTGGGTTGTTCCAACGACGGATAGCTTTTGTCTTTGGTGGAATTGGTGGGAGTACGGATTGAACGGAGTTTTGCTATTTGCGATGGCTTGGGGATCTATTGAACGGCATTTACTGGTATTTCATCGAGGAATGATGATAACGCGAAAACAGCGAATCTTGTTTCATTTATTACCAATATCACTTGCTTGTCTATACCCACTTTTGTTATATTTCATTGTGGTTATATTAAATCCCTGTCAAAACTATTGGCATTACAATGAGGTAAAGTTTTTCTTTTCTCTCTCAATTGAAATAGCAGTGTTTTTTTAATAAAAAGGTCTTTTGCGGAATACCATGTTATCTAATAGATTATCCAATACTTGCAACTTATGATTTCATTGCCGACATTGTATTTCCAGTTCTAGTGATTGCTTCGGCTAATGTAAGTCTTATCATTCGGGTTGTTTTGCAAAAACGGCAACATAACGTAGCATGGCGTCGACAACGTAAATTAACTCGGCAACTTATTGGCATAGCTATCATTTATATACTGTTTTGGTTTCCATTGACATTAGGTGGACTCGTTTTAACATTCACGTCGTCATCGGATTTGTTATCCATTCAAGTAAATTATTTCTTTTTCTTCGTTCATTTTATACCCGGTTTATTACCATTTACTTCGATCACTTCGTTATCTGATTTCAAGAAAACCGTTTTTGGAAAACAAGGCACAATAGTTACACCTTTTACACTTTAAGTACTTGACGAACTTTAGATTTTCTTTTCAATCATTCTAGTTAAGCAACATCTTTACAAGAATGTTGTTCCCACCAGTGTTACCGGATGCTGTGTCCTCATTTTAATGAGTGCATTATTAAAAAGACCCTTATCTTTGCTAATTGAATAAAAGTTAGTTTGTCATAACCTAGATATCTAGATTTTAATCCAGTTTAAGAATGAGTTCAATCATTTTAACTAATACAAAGAATTCCTGTATAATATAATTGGAACGTCATCGCACAATACGAAATACCAGAGCATGACAAGAAAGAACAGAATGTTTGAAACACATACGTATAATCAGTAGTTCAAACCTGCCAAAAGAGAAGTTGAAAAGAATTTTTAACAGTGCAGTACGAAAAAGAAAAGAGACAATATCTCGATGAGATAAATTATGACAATAAAAAGACATTTGATCTAAGTATCCATGTGTATTGTTACGATGGCGTATCATCTGTTGGTTGCGAATCGATCATAGGTAGCCAAAATAACTGAAAAGAGATCAGAATGATAAAATAAGAGAGATACAGATTTTGGAAATGTGACAAACCATATTTGTATGAGCTGTTGCAAACATGAGAAAGGCAGGATTGAATTGAATACATTGGATAGCACCAGTATGTTCCGTCTAAATGATTCAAAGATTCGCTTTTATAGAAGAAATCTATATAGACAACAACGAACTTGTTTCTCAATAACTTTGTCACCGCTTTCTGCTTTGTGGATTAGGATACGGTTATCACCCGAACCTGAAATAAACATAAGTTGATTTTATTGTCGTGCTGATGAGACTCGAAATACACACCACATAAAATATAACTTGAATCAGGGCTAAAGCAGCACTGCAATGGTTCGTGTCGATCATTTGCAATATTCTGAGGAAAATTCAAATAAATAAAACCAATCTACTCAACGAAATTCACTTACAGTAAACTTATGTATAGGCAAACCTTGAAAAGCTTCAATCAAATGTAAGTTGGTACCATTGGTGGCAATCGAAATCATCTTTCCATCTGGGCTAAATTTCAAATGTGTCCATTGTTCAGTTGGAAGTGCGGAGTCTGTCGTTGTTTTGTCATTATTATCCATCATTTCCAATGGTCGGAATGTCGTGAATGGTCCCTGAAAAAAGAAGATCATATTTTTATTTTGATCTTCCATTTTACTACCTGCCGGTAAGTTTGCATACTTTATCAAAATGGCGAATATCGTAGAGTTTTATCTGAGATGACTGAATACCAACTGCGAAGACCACGCCTGAAGGTATCGAGAAATGAAAGATGATGATGACTTGTCTGCGTAGGATTGAATTACCTTCGGGATCGAAATTCGCTACAGGACGGCTATGCGGTCCAGCTGCTGCTTGCACGTTGAGAAGACCCTAGATATTGTAAAAGAAGAATATAAAGAATAGTTTTCAGAAGTAGTCGTCCTTACTTGTGAGGTTGGAATTCGTACATCCCAAAGGCGTAATGTATTATCGACTGAAGATGTGAGAAATGTTTCTTCTGTTGGACAAATACTCAAACTCACAACACTGAAAAGAACACGAAATCATTTGTATTGGACTTCTACGAAGAGTATCTAGTTATCAAATCATGTCATTTACCGTTTCGTATGTCCTGAATAGTATCGAATATATTTGTTTCCTTCCAATTGTAATAATCGAACGGAATCTATTACAAAACAATCAATGTAAGTATGGCCTATCGATTGAAAGACACAGACCATCGACCTTCGTCGAGCCATGAAGCACTTGTTCAGTTCCATGGATGAAATGAATAAGATCAACTCCATACTTTTTACTGAATAATGTTCGTTTTGTTCTGAACAAAAATCATTGCAAATGATATTCGATATCGATTCTTGGTCAAGAAAGTTCCACATACTCTCCTTCTTTACAATCGTAAATTACAATGGAATCATCATCACTCGATGAAATCAAGGTTTCGCCGTCAAGTGAGAAATTCATCGCATTTATACGATCTTTATTCACATTGAACGATTTCGCTACATTGAATTGTTTCATCGTATCTTGAGTAAATTTGATTTCTGACGCCATCTAAAATAAAAGTTCAAAGAGTTTCATTCCTGAATTCCAAATGTCAAGCACAAAAGTGTGACTTAGAAGTCACGTCGTTTTCTATAGGCGCTGTCATGAGTGCTGAAACTAGAAGGTTCACTTAATGTTTAATTGAAGGCTATGTGAAAGGAATATACTGTAGATTTTATTCTATCAAGTTGGCAAGTTATCAAAACGAAAAGAGTAAATCACAAAATATGATTAAATCACTGTGAATAAAACGATCGAAACGCTTAAAATTTATTTCCTCCTTGATGAAATAACCAGTATGGAAGTTTCAAAAAGCCAGGAATCCATCCAGCTAACCAACGTAAAGCAGGTGCTTGTCGAACAAGAAAGCTAAATGAACGAATATTCACTGCAGGTTGACCTAAACATTTGATAAACATGTAAGAGCGTTTGATTCACTGATGACCTACCATCTGAATCGACAATACTATGAGCATCTCCATAGTCAGCGGTCAATACTATTTTTCCTGAATAATCCATTACCGATGGATCTATTCAAGAGAAACCCAATGAATTTCGAAAAACTGGTGAGAATAACACGAACTTTGTGCTAAATGAGCGATGATGCGACCGGCATATTCTGCTGTTTCTGGTTTACCATACTTTTCTAACATTTTGCGAAACTGAAACGGAGATAATCAAATAATCTATTGTGAGAAATAGTATTCGGGTGCGGTACATACGCCAACTGAATTTTCTGATGCTTGAATTGTTTCTGTAAAGACTGCACCGGGCCAAAGTGAAATCGAAGCTACGTTATGTTTTCTCAATTCTGTTCCTGTATCTGCTGCCATTCGATCACACTAAAATATTCCGAAGATTATTAAACCATCTAAGAATAACGTATAGAAACTGACAGCAGCTTTTCCAATTCCGTATGGAACGTTAAACAAATAACGTAAACCACCGGCTGATGAAATCACAACGATAAGACCTTGTTTTCGAGGTACCATCAAGCGAGCAGCATGAACAGTACAATAATAATGATTACTAGAATGAAAATAGAAAGACTTATCATCGAACTAAGTATGGATTTCGAAACCATACCGTAGACCGACATTATTAATATCGTCGAACAAGCTTGGCTCAACTTCCCAAAACGATTTACCCGATGAAGCTAATATTGGCTAAGCAGAAGAAAAGTAGAAGCTCAAAATCAATAATCTACTACATACTTCCACTCCTTTGTAAGCGTTATTGACTAGAATATCAAGTCGACCATCTTGTTCTTTGGCAATTCGTTTGAAAAGTTCTTCAACTTCATCCATATTCTCGTGATCAACACGCACTGGTATGCATTTACCGCCGCGTTGTCGAATCTAAATACAAAGTATCCTCCTTTACACGTAGTGAAATTCCTTGTATCTTTACGGCTTCGGCTGTTTCTTCCAAACTACCACTTTTACCATCGCTCGACTTCATTGTTCGACCTCAATAGAATGCACGATATCTGTTCACTCCGTAGATTGACTACAATAGTGCCTACCTGTCACATAAACGAGCGCTCCAGCTGCTCCTAATTCAACGGCAATACCTTTGCCAATACCTCGTGTTCCACCTGTCACAAGTGCTACTCGACCAGCTAAAGAAACCGTCGCCATCTGAAATAGAATATTATACTTTTGCTGTCGCTGTCTTTGTTTTCTTTAAAGCTGTCTAATCATCATATGTACATCTGAATCCAATGAAAAAAAAAGAACGCATGAAAAATAGATAGATATTTCTATATAAGTGTAGAGACGCATGGTTAATGAACAAAAGTATCATCATATATACACTTAATACAAAATGATAAAGAGAGAGGAAGGGAAAATCGAAAGATCAATCGCGTTCGTTAAAAAAACTTATTGAAGCAATGTAACCATTGGACATGACTTCAAAGATCATGTCATCGTTAACTAGATGACAGAATGTTGGTCCAAATGGATTTGTTGTATTTGTTGATGATGAACGATGAAGAATAGCAGGTGGATTTCGATTTTCAAAGATTTCTTGTATAGCTGGCCACTAAAGAATTCAACAAGATTTGCATAACAAACAACCAAAAGAATATTTCTTACTCGTGTAGATGGTGTAACCACGATTTCTTTTCCTGTCACATGATTTCGTACAGTTAATTCAAAATTGCACGGGAAATAACTGAAAAACATCGGATAAATATCAGAATAGAAAACGTGCAGTTTTTACCTATCGAAAAGATAATGGCAAGGAAAATTGGTATGTAAAATAAATTTCTTCACTGTATGACTTTGTCCATCAAATAAGATATCCTACAGAAAAGAAATTCAAACTTTTTTAAAAATTCCATCACGCCATAATCAATCGTTTTACCATGCCAAAGTTAACGTAATTGTAGTAGAAATCAGATTTATCCTGCGAGCGTTGATTTCCAGAGTTTGTTGGTGATGGACTATGAATTTTTATCTTATCATCCGTCTTGTAATACACACTATTAGGACTTCCGATAACGGAAAGAACATCCTGTAGAAATCCAACATGATTGAATTCGAGATAAGGATCTTTTTGCTAATTTACCTGACAAGTATCATCAAAATGAACAGTTGCATCAAGATAATCAATATGATCATCGGGATCATACGTTTTCGGTGCATGACCTAGACAAAACAGCGTGATTGAATGATTGTCCATGACACAAATTTACTTTGCATACCTTCTACCATCAAGCGACATGTTAATCCGATAGTCTTTTGATTCTCTATCAAATTTGATAGTCTATCAAGAAATACCGATCGGTTAAAGCAATTAACTGGCAATGGTGGAACACTGACAATATATCAAAGAACATGAAGTATTGGCAAATTGTTGCGATAGTGAACAAACCTGAATTCTAATGGAACATTTCCGTAATAGATGTATATTTTCGAAACAACGGGCGATTGACCCGGTGGAAATTGAAGAGAATGAAGACCATGCATTGATTTTGTCTACAAAGAAAGATATCATTATCAATGATGTTAGTGTGAGGGTGTGGGTGGATCAGATACTTCAACTTGTGGACCAATTTGATTGAAAAAGAATGTCAAGCCAGGAAAATGCATTAGAAATGATTGACTTTCGCGGTTATAATCTAGTTTACAAAACAAATCAATCGAAATGCAACAAGAAAACATGACAGTTTCTTCTACTGACCACCGGGTCTTGTCGGTCCAAAAATTTCATTGATATTTTCAATCGTTGGTACGATTTGAGGACTGTTGAAGCAATTGCCACTAGAAGAATTTGACAGAAGATTCAATCAAACGATTATGGTTATTACTTACAAGTATTTCAGTTTCACCTTCTTCAAATCATATAATTCGATAAGCTATTAATAGGAAGTAAGTTCAGAATATCAAAACGTAAACTTTGTGCTTTATCTTTACTTTTAATCGCTGAGTAACTGAATCAAAATGAAGTAGAATGCTGTCGTTTGATAGATTCAATGTATAATCAGCACTTAATGGATCCTGACACAACGAAAAACAACTTAATAATAAAACTGATTCTATATCTTGCATATTCGTTACTTTGTCATTGTAAACCAAAGTCACTGACTTGATTTGATCGTCATTTTGCTTAAGCAACTTGATGACTTGATGTAGAGACATGCCTGAAAGATTGTATGACAATAGAACCCAATTGCTTCTTGCGATTTCACCTACCTAGAACAATCTCCCATTTGGTTGTATGAATCGAACGTTGTTGTGTTATTTCAACTTCAAGCATTCTTGTTCTTTTTATTTCTGATGTTGAATTCGTTAAGATCTTATTGTTTTATAGAATAAAGAAAAAACAAAATAGCACGTGTGCTGCTGGATGACTTTATCTGAAAATATTCTATCGAATCAGATCAATGATAGATGTCGCGCGAGTCTTCTCTCCAATTCTCTATCCACTCTACATATTTTACTGGCCAACAATTAAATCAGAGTGCAGCAATTATATGCAACTAAATACTTTTTCTATCGAACTACTTGCTATTCATTGTAAAAGCTCCTTTCTTTCCTCTTTGAAATACTCGGTAATCTAATGTGTCGAGTACGTCGATACAAACACTCGTAAAAATACAGCTTCGTTTATCATCACACAGGCGATCGGTAAAATCGTGTTTTTGCTATACCAGTAAACATATTATGATGAAGCTCATTTCAATTGAAACAATAATTTATAATTGAAATTTTGCATCTAGATAATCTGATGAATCGATATGTTTCCATCAAATTGCAATGGACATCGATTCTTTCTTTGCATTAACATCATAAGCTAACGAAGATGTATATATCACATGTTTGCAAATAGTTTTGAGTACTAAACCATCCGTGTACTATCATCAATCAACTCTTGCTAGGGTATCTCATATGAATAATTCATATAGTATAATGAAATGAAAATTTTCATGTTGATTTCTAGATAAAACATTGTGTATATACAAATGATCTGTCTGTCCATAGATTGGTCTCTCGCTATAGTTTTGTCCCAGTAGACTCATAACCTCCCGACGTATTCTCAATTGTTGATAGTAGAACTTAGTATTATTTCTCTATCAAACAGTTCATTTTTTGTTATTTTTTCATTCTTTTAACACATTTTCCACTAGGTATACATACGTATTCATACGCATGCACATTCATTAGTAGCCCTATCAGTCTCTTTCACAATAGCGACAACCACTAAATAGGTTAGAAGAGCGGTCTGTCTAGACAGATGCGCACTCGTTCATATGCACATCGACAAACCATCAACATTGGGTAGCCAGTCATTTCTTATGTATATTTAGTTCTTCTCTTTTCTCTTTTTCTTCGATGGTCTTATTTGATAATTCTTCGTCAATTGACCAACAACCAATACTCCTCGGTCATTCTCTTGCGTGTGCACAAGCCAGACATCGATGCAAATGAACGAGAACGAGAGAAAAAAGAGAGAAAAGTTTTGAGTAATACAAAAAAAAAAGAAAGAAAGAAAAAAAAGAGACTGACGCCGACAAGACAAGCTGGTCAGTCGTTCGTTATGTAGTTCATGGTGAAGTGGGCATATGGAGGAAGCTGGTTATGTTATGTCTATGGATTGGTTTTGGCGAAAGGATATTCATGAAATGCCAAAGATGATTTAATTAACCAAAAGAAAAGGTATTGTTAAATGAAATTATCGATGCCTGATTGTCTATCAAGAGTCGAGTGATTTTCTCAACTAAAGATACGTTTTAGTGCAAGCTGAGATATTCCAAAGAATGAAAACGGATTTTTATGAATGAAATTTCTTTGTTTTCTAGCCAAACAACGACTCACACCATCGTGTTCAATATTGGCTAACTCTCATCTTATCACCTGATCAAGATAAACAATGGTAACAGCAGTCGTCTACAAATATTGATCATCAATCATGAAATTTGCACAAAAAACATATTTCTTTCTTATCAACATTCTATCATAATGATAATTCTTATCGTAGAATCTTTACGTTCGTTTAATCTTTCTGTGGAATTCTGATTTCTTTTTGTTTGCTCTTTCTCTGTCTTGACTTTTATTGTACATGTTTGTGCGTGGAACTTGTCTTTTCTTCTCAAATCTGACGATGAACAGCGCGAGGTCCACAACAGTGATAATACATATATACAAAATCGGCGCTGTTGTTTATGTGTATGTGTGTTCATTATTTACTCTTATCAAATGTGTTTTCTTCTTCGTCTTTATGTTTGCTGTCATTAGCTTATCAATTTGGGTAGAAGATTATTTTAGAAAAAATAATGCTTTTTCGTTGTTTTATCTGCTGTAAATCGCTCATAACGTAACTTTACTTAGCTCACAAAGAAATTGTATCCATATAAGTCAGAGTAGTGAATGAAAAAAGAAATTACCAAGTGATTGCTGTCAACATGTGTCTTAATAATATAAAAAACGTCAGTCATATTCAAATGTGAATCTACACGGTTACCTCGGATACGTATGTACATAGACGTAGAATACAATGGAAAAGATGTGAGGGGCATTGACGGGTGCCATACATGTCGTGATGCTATATTAAGGATAATCCCAATACCCATGATTATAGCTGGAAGTTGTATTTCCACAACGCATTGGACCACCACCGTATGACGATCCATAGTTTTGACCGAAATCTATGGCAGATGGCCCAGCGAAGGCTCCAAAAGCTAAATAATTACGTATATATTCACATCGAAAATATATCATAAGATGATTATTTACGATTATTGAAATCGTCAACCGGTGCATCAAGTTTGTTCATAAATCCTGAGTCGTCAAATAGCGGCATATGACTTTCACAAGGTCTTCTAATGTTACTATAAGGTACTGGTCGATTATAATAAGATCTATAGCTATTGCCACCAAAATTCGGTTCACCATTCCCAGAAACCATATCAAGATTCCTGTTTGATGAATAAGCAAACGAGTCACCATGGCGAGTTTCATTTAGATCAGCTGTAAATGGAGTTTGCTTTCTAGGTACTGCTTTCTCAACACTGACAATATTTCCTTTGATAACATGCTTTTTCTCCAAAATAATTTTGTCTACTGGGTCATAACTATCAAAATGTCAAGAAATACACACTGAACAACTCTGACAACAAAAATCTTACTCGTCGAACTCCACAAACCCGAAGCCGCGTAGTTTCCCTTCACCTGTTTTCTTCAATTGAGCATCGATAATATTTCCATACTATAATTAAAAGATATTATAAACATCCGCTGGAAATCTGAGCATACTTTTGCAAAGTATTCATTAAGATCATGCTCACTAATGGATGCATCGCGAATATTGCTTACGAATAATCGTTTGGACGTTATGGTTGTTTCTGATTTTTTCATTATCAGTTTTGGTATCGCTCGTTTTGCTACAATTTCACGCGAGTCAATCCGATGTGGACGAGCAGCCATAAACTGATCGACTGTTTTCGATGAAGTATAAGTAACATAACCAAACCCTAGTACAAGCGATCAAATCATTGGCCGAAAAAGTGAAGAACAACAATTCTGTACCTCGAGATCGACCTCGTCGATCACGAACTATAAAGAAATCCTATATCGGAGAAAGATATTTAGCTTGTTTTCGATATTTGAACATCAGGATTGAAGATTCGTTTTAAAATAAAACTCAGTTACTTACCGAGACTTCTCCAAATTGTGACAAATAACTTAGACATGTTTCATGAGTAATTTTAAATGAAAGATTGTTAATAAAAATCTTCCGATGAGATTCGGGTTCTAAATGATTCGGACAACTGATTCTATCTGTCGCTTTTTGCACCAGTTCTTCATGGTTATCAACCAAAGCCTTGTTTAGCATTATTTCATTCGACATACTATTATCACTTTTTCTATCAACAATCGCTTGGTAATCTAAATAATTTGTATATCAAAAAATAATGATTAATTCTCTGAAGACATTTTCATAGCCGTGTTCAATTTAATAAGTAAACAAAAAATGACACATCTGTATCTGAAGTATAGGTTTTTATTAGACAATATTCTACTAGGGATATTTATGTATCTACAAATAAAAAATAGAGACATTATTGCATTTTAATTAATCTAGTCGTCCATGAGTATCATAATAGTCTATACAAGCCAAAAAATCAAGTAGTGTTATGTGTTTTATACGATTATTATCAAGAAGAACGTCTGGTACTGTCGTTTCGTAGATAATGTAATTGATCGGTGATGAATTATTTGCATTGATTTCATTGTCACTATCGATTCGGTGGAGCTTCGGTTCACGTTTAAGTAGTGTTGCGCTAGAAATTTTAATCAAGTCAGCTATATCTTCTTTTTTGTACGTATGAAATTGACCATAGAGATAAAATTCACATTTGTCAAAAAGAAGAGTTTCCTGCAAATACAAAAGATAAAACAGCTTTCGGTAGGTCGCTTTCCATTGACTTCTTACGTTTTGCTCATGTTTCAATCGACTTGCATGTGATCCATTCGAAGTTGGTTCGATCTGTGAACCAGTTATTTCGTATTCACTTTCACTAATCCATTGTTTTTGTTTAATACATTCATCAATCCCTGATTGATAAAAAAAATCCAACTCAATGAAAGCAATCCGAAAATATGTCTCTTCATATTTACATTTTTCCGAAACGATCCATTTGCCCAGAACAATCCCACGAAGATAATTTATCGTCCGAAAGGCAATGTTGTCCTGTTCACCACATGCAACAATATGTGTCACTAGAACAAAACGCAAAACTACCAAATCAATAAATATGCCCGTTCAAACCATTATTTTCCACATTTCTCGCTGTTGTTACACATTTACGACCAAAGATCGTTTGCACAGATTTAATTAAAGATTCTTTCCGTGCTTTATCAAAACCAGTAAAAAAGAGAACGTTCGATGATGATGTTGTTCGAGCTCGACGTCGAGCAGGTGGAGCAATCGGTGCATCATTGTGTGAAGGTTTTGTACATTGAGTTTTTTCGAATAAAGATGAAAGCTTAAGATCGGCTGCAAGATCAATGGCACTTTTACCATTTTTATCTCTGAATTATTCAATCAATACGAAAAAGAAGATACATTCGTTTCAACATACTTTATATGTGGATCAGCACCATTTTCAAGTAAAAATTTAATAAGAAATTCGTTAACAGGTTCATTTAAAAGCGCTTCATGCAAAACAGTCATTCGTTCGCTACCACCCTGAACATTGATATTGGCATTATGTGCAAGTAATAACTTCATTAATGGAAGATCACACATCGAACTTGCCTGAAATGAAAAATTCTCGACTGGTTTTTTATTGAAAAGAAAAACTAGAGAACTCTACCTCATGCATTGGTGTCCAAGAATTGTGATCGATGGTATTGACTGAATGTCCTTCTTCAATCAGTTGTTTGACACGATTTGTATCCGCTTTTTTCACTGCTTGATGTAATAGTGATTCGCCTTTATCGTTGCGTACGTCATGCGAAGACTTATTTGATGAAAGAGTTTTCTTACGAATAGCTGCTGGCTTTTCCTAAATAATCATCGAACAGTGTACAGCATGGCAAACAAATCAAGTCTTACATCGGTTTCTTCGTCTTTCTTAACCTTTTTCGCACTTTTATTTGGTTCATTTGATTTTGACTCATCTGCTGTTTGTTGAACTTTTCGTGTCAAACGGAGTGATTTGGCTTGTTTCTCATCACCATCGTTGCTTAGTTTCTTTCGAACAGGAGTCGTTCCTTTTTTTACTACAGTTGGACTGATGACTGATAATGGCGCATCAATATCTTCAGTAGTTTTGGTCCGTTTCGGGGGAGATTCATTTTCTGGTGTTTTAATACTAACTGACCGTTTGGATGCGTTTGAACCACGAACAGTCTTCCGACGAACAGCAGTCTCTTCAATTTCAGGTGTGGTAGATTGGTTTTCTTTCTCTTCCTCATCACTTTCGTTGTGGAGAATATTTAAATTCTTTTTCTTTATAATAATTTTCTTTTTCAAATCATTGACTGGTGCAATTTGATTAGTTTCACGAATTGTCGAGCGTAGTAGGTTCAAACATGTTAACACTCCTTCTTTTATTGCTTCCTTCTTCTGTTCAATGTGTTCTTTCGGTTCATTCGGTGAATCGCCTACAATCGTCAACAAATCGGATACAACATCTTCCATTAAAAAAGAAGGATTTTCCGTACTTAAATCATACAACGTGCGAAATGTTCGGTTGAGCAATGCCAAAACTTTATTGCATTTGATATTCGGTTGAATCAACGAGAGATAAGGTATTTTTCCACTGGAATATTGTTTTTCCGCACATGTGCTTAAACAGAATGAGCGTAGATCGAGTAAAGCTCACAAATTATCCGATATACATACAGACAAACGATAGGTTCTAGACCATTGATCGTCACAATATCTCGCGGAAGTGTATTACTGCAACAAAAGAGATAGATTCAAAAGTTTAGCAAAGGAATTTATGCATATCAAACTGACCATGATGTACACAAAAGTAGTTTGCAGCATTGTTCAGTACAGTTCAAAATTGATACGAGATCATTTTCATCCATAATAAACAGACTTGAAATAGAATGTGTGATTCGAGATGTCAACGTAAAAATATGTATGTTGTATTGTTTGATATTAACAGATCTTCGTCTTTTCAAACGTAAAGAAAGAAACAAAAGAATTGTTTCAGCAAATACGATTTGTTTGTGACGTATTATTCAACGTAATCAAATAATCATATTGTGCGAGGAAAATGAGTCGAGCGCAGACTCAACACGAAGTTTCGCGATTAGGATAGCATTCCGTCGTCAAGCGGTAAATATTCAAAATTTTAATATTTGTCGAATTTGGGTGACATCTATCAGCTAAAAATCACCGTATAAATAATGCTTTTTGAAAACTGCACAAGTTTTGCATAATTGTAATAGATCCTCAAATTCGTTTTACTGCACTTAATCAACAGTTTCTTTGAAGACATTTTGTCTTGCATCACGAATAACAAACGCTTGTTAATTAACGATGATAAACAGCTAATCATCACAACAGATTGTAACCGATCGATAAGCGTGTCAATATTCACTCTAAGAAAATGTTTAGTTCCGCTAATACACAACCAACCTGTCATTGTGTAAACTACATTCGAAATTCGAAGATCTTTCTTCTTGTTTTTTTTATTAAACACGAAACAGAAAGCTAACGGAATAGTCTATCTATACACATAGAGGAGGATGTCAAGGATTACTGTTCGAATAGAAAGAATTATAAGACAAAAGAGTTCATGATTAGATTAGACGATCCAGACAAGTAATTGTTCAATAGAGGAAAGTCCGCGACGGATTTTTAGATTTGTCTGATTTTGACAGCGAACCAATGTTGTTGTATGGTGATGGGAGACGTGTTTTTGTTCGGGTTTGTTTTGATTCATCGATGCAAAGGCACGTTGTCGACAAAGCTCGCAGGCAATAAATGGTCGTGTTCGTCTTTGTTTTGCGAATATGGGTGTTGAACAACGTGGACTTCGCGGAGAAGTCGCCGAAAAGTACGACGATGTCGAAACGGGATGAACTATAAGGAAAAAAATTCTAAAGTTAATGTATGTTTTCTTATTGATTTTTCTTTCCGACAACTTAAATCTAAACGATCAATTTGAAGTGCAGAGGAAAAGGGCGGATTATTGTATCATCACTTGAAAGAAGAACAATCCGACAGGCAAACAGTGAACAATCTGTAAACAAAAGTCAATTCAAACTTTTGTTCATCGTGCAGGCGAGACAGAAAACTTTTATTCAATTAGGNATGGATGTGATACGGAAATTACGTGCAATTATGTATCAATCTTTGATTTTCGTAGAGATAGCAAGAACAAACACAAGTTTTATGTCTGAATTGTGTGCACAGATTTTATATGAAATCATGATGTAAGGAAAGCGAAAGATAAAATTGCAGTAAAGAAAAATGTTGATGTCTGATAAACTCATTTTCAAGAAGATGCGGAATCGGTATATTAAAATCAGAGATGTCAACGTTCTGCTGATGATTAAATAGCAATTGCAAAGAAGGTCCCACAGACATTGGCAGTTGAAATGGATTGAGTTTGTATGAATCTGATTGTTCGTTGATGTGAATGAAATATTATTATCAATATCAGCGATTATTTCATGTCTAAGCTCGTATTCTTTTCCTTTGCAAATAATGAAAAAAAAAGCGAATTTCTACCACGCAAATGAAGTATTACACGTTCGTATGTGATTCACTGTTTGATGAGAAATCCAAACATCTGCCAGTACTATATAAATATCCCTCATCGATGTTTCTTACTTTTTTGTCTAACTGATAATAAGCTCACAACATGATCAGAAGTATCTTAATCGTTCTTTTCATTATTTATTCAATCAACTCGAATCCAGTAGAACGTGATGGTAACAAGAAATCTTTTCGAAACAGAGATATCAATTGTTTCATTTCATAGGAAACGAAGTATGTGAATTGAAAGGTTTTTTTGTAACTAAGAATAAGTACGGTTGGGCAAAGCGCGGAAATCAAATCATATGCACCTGCCCAGATGGACAATATACAATTGATAAACCTTGCCGTTTGTTATCTAGTTTTTCTCTCTCTCTCGTTTCACTTTGAATCATATTTTGCTGTGAATAGGTATATGCGATAGAGAAGATATTTGCGGGGAAAACTCGTTGTGTTCAGAAGAATTAGCAATTTCGGAACCGACAGCACGGTTTATTTGTTTCTGTGCCTCAGGTGGTTATTTACTTGGAGAGAAGTGTCCAGCTGTCACTGGAACTACAACTATAACTCCAACTACGATCGCACCTGTAACAACCACAACAAGCATTGTACAAGCAACAACTACAACCACGGCTGTCGATTTAACTACAACGACAACAACAACTACACAGACGACAACATCAACAACTACGCAGACAATCACGATAACTACACAGACGACGACAACATCAACAACTACACAGACAACGACAAATACCAGCACAGAAACGAGTACAACTCCAGGATGTGCACCTCGATCGAGTAGTTCCCGTCCGTTCATGCAACCAACTATTATAATATTATTAAACCTAATTTATTTTTTCACAAAATGAAAGTCTATATAAAAATTGTTGAATAAATGACACTGAAAGATCCTAAATTACGACAGACGATGTTCATAAAACTATTTCAGATAAAGTTCGTATGTCTGATTGCTGAAAGAGATCCTGATGTATGAGACATTGTACTCAGTGATAAACCAAAAGCTTCCCTCAAAATTAAACGCTTGTTTCTTTATGACACGTCAGCAATGAGCGATTAAAGTGACTTATATTTAAAGCAAAAAATTACTGCTCATCGTTGCCAGGTCCAAATAAAAGTGAATATGTTTTAAGATAAAACAATGCTTAGTATGGATGATATCATCATGTTTATCTGTACATCATGTTTAATAGGAAAAATGAGGAGAAATAAGTTAAAAATTTATACAACTGTTCACACAAAAATGACCACAAAGCTGAAGTAAAACCATGCAGAAATTGCTTTCAGAAAATACATGGTGGTCCACGATCCGGACTTTGATCTTTACATCCTGTATTTCGTAAATAAGGTTCATTGACATCCGACATATCACCTGATCTCGATGATCGACCACGACGTTTCTGCTCCTAGAAGATTACGGAATTGTATATGATCTCCTCTTAGAATTAAAACCTACCTGTACGTAAAGTTGATTATCACGGTCGACCAATGTTTGTAGATATGGCACAATCGGTAGTTGGGCTGTATCTGATTCATTTTCTAGACAAAAGTATTTATTTATTCATTGAATCATCTATATCCATTTGCACGAAAACCTATACCTTGAGTTTGCTTTTCGAATATCAACACATAAGGAGTGGCGGATGGGAAACGTTGAAAATGTGCACAAACACTTTCGTATGATAAATGTTCCACATGTGTATCATTGAATAGCCACCATCCGAGATGATTATTTGTGTTATTTTTATCCGTGAAATCATCATTATTAAACATAACAAATGCATAGTAATGTCCGCTATTCATCGATAGACCATGATGAACAACAATTGCTTTCAAGCGATAGGTTACCGACGTTTCATTAATAGTTAGTAATTGAATAAATTCTGGTAATGTCGTGTGATCAAGACATTTCTCATATTTACCTGTCAAACGATTATGTACAAAACGTTTCAGCAATAAAACAAGATAATTCGGATGTGAAGTTAGAAACATTCGACGTGAACCATCCTCCTTTTTTTCACATTTATCACATGCTAATTGATTTTCATTGATCAGAGGTTCCCATGCGAATGAATGGTCAATAAGTGCCTGTAAATCGAATTTTTTCTCTTGGTCATTCTTTATTAATGATTGTTCATTGAAACCGATCGATAAGTCGTAGAAAAGATCTTCCGATTTCGTCATTGTTAAACAATTTGAACATTTACTAACATGTACACATGTGCCCATAAGATGCTGTTTAACCAGATCGAGGTTTGAGCTAAAGAGAAAGCGTATCCATTAATATCAATGTTAAGTAACGCTCGCCTTGAACGGATAAATGATTACGTACTCGTTCTGGGCCGTTCGGTTCGCTTCTTCATGCAGTGTGTCCAAGAGATGTCGGAGAAATTCTTGACAGTCTTGCTGTTGATTACGTTCGAAGTATGATGGTTTGGCTTGAAGCCAAAACCGTTCCGGTCGGTAATGTGGCCTCTAGAAAAGTTCACATTCTTAAGCATCAAAACTCATTTAGTGTTCTGTACTTGAGAAAGTGTGAGAAAGCCAAATAAACTTTGTAAAGATTTCAGTAGTTCATTGTTCGATGATAGAATATCACAACTAAGAACACATTGCCGAAATCTAGGAATAGAAAACCGTTAGAACAAAACACAAGTTGTGACTTAGAGAAAGATCTTACTTTGTACAAGCATATAGTGCTTGCATGATTGCATTCAAATAACAAGTATTTCCAATGTTGATCAATCCAACTTTATCATGTAGACGAATTGTCATTTCGTTAGAATAGTTCTCGATTGAAGACGATTTGCATTTCATTAGTTGAACATTCTTTGCATAAACAGGATTCAACTTTGGAAGGCTCTGCAAGGAAAAAAGGTTATTAAAACGACAAATCAAGAGAAACATATGTTTTACTTGGAGGAGATTGTTTAGTAGCTCATTGTTCAAAAGATTATCTTCATTATTTAATAAACTTTTCAAGCCGTATCGCACACTTTCAACAAGATTATTCATTTCAACATTATCGATCAAAAAATTTGGATTGTTGATAACCAATTGAAGAATTTCATTTTGTAAAGTACTGGCAAACTAAGATAAAAAAGAGATTACAGAAATAAAATCAGTGATAAATAGGCATTCGCTTACTGTTTGTAAATGAAATGGCTGATTAACGAATATCCAGCATAAGGCTGGTATGACGTTCTGATACGATGAAGGATTACCCAGCATTGATATCAGCTAAGAAAAGAAATTGATAGAAATGACGATTGAGTTGAAACTTTCGAACTTACATCGGAAATAATGGATGATGATGCTGATTGTGCTACTAACATTTCTCGTTCACGTTTGAATAACAGTTTCCAAATCGAAACGAGCCATTGCGATGGTTTAGTTGTTAAACATGGCCATCGAAACACTCGTGCTAAACGATTGAGACAAAGAACCAGTCGATCGTCATCGATCGTCTGAATAGAAAAACAATAAATCGAAATATTTCTAAGAAATTTAAAAGCATTTCCGTACCAAAATAAACGAATCAAGCAGATTTTCGTTTGGACATTCTTGTAATAGATCAATAATGTTCGCTAATGCTGTTGAAGGCTCAGTTGTAACCGTTGAATCCGCTAGACATGTCAGTAAACCACTCGTAACACCATTAACGATATCATTTAATAACTGACTAGATTGTTTGTTATTATCATAACATAATCTTTCAATAGTTGATGATAATTGTTTACAAAATGCTTCAACTTGCTCGATAGAATGATCCAATGTGCGCAAACGGAAGAGTACGAGTTCTACTAGTTTAATGTAGAATATCGTTCGTTGTCCGTCGGTTAATTGACGATTTTTGGTTATTGATAAAAGAATAAAATGTAATGCTTCATTATTTAACTCATGCCTCTCGAAAATAGCTCGTTCTAAGAAGGGTCGACCGATTTCGATTGGTAGACGATCACTTAACAATTGAACAAATGAAATCGACAGATCAATTTGTGAATCAGTAATTAGATGCTCAGCAATGGAGCAAAGACAGTCAGAACTATGACAACATTCCAAACAGACACGACAAAACTGTAAACTTTCGAGATCTGCTTTGGTAGATGTCAATTGACGAACATAGTTTATGATATGATAACAAGGACGATCAGTTATTGCCAATGTTGTCGAGCAAGGAGTTTGAAGGTAGGTTGGACGTATAAGCTCGAATAATTGTTGTTTCTTCAGAAGTGGATGATCACTTTTGATGATGCCAGAAATGATTTGATCCATAATATGGCTATGAATTGACGAAAACAAGAGTATGACAAAGTAATGAAACTGCTAGATGAGACAAGAGCGAGAAGGAGAAGATTATTCAACAGCTGATTGATTTGAGAAAAGGATTTGCTAGTTCGACCGTCCATTTAACAACGAACAGTTAGAGGGCGCTATAGGAAAGCGAACAAGCTGGTTCAAAAAAGAAAACGGCGTTCTGTACTTCTATCGTACATCTGCAAGTTGTCACGATGATTTGAATTAGCCAGGTACTCGTACATACGAAGTCATGTTTATGTCAAATTTGTTGATCTCAATTAGGCGTCTCTGCTCTTTTTCAACGAGTTCAACGAAGTGTTTAGATCGTTTCTTTCCGTTCAATAACATTGTTTTGAGTAGAACCGATAGAATCAAGTTCAAGAGAATGTATATATCTGCTCGAACAAAGTTAGGGTTCAGTTAGCGATGCGATTTTACATTGAACATGGGTCCGTGTAGAATTACTGACATTAGAAAAATTCATTTTTCATGCGCATATGACACCTGATATAAATTATTGTATCAATTGATTTCTTGCATAACGTTTAAAGATTCAATACATATGTCTATTGTCTTCATCTGACTGTGCCGGAAATTTCAACAAGTAATGATTGGTCTTAATAACTTGTCTGCGTGTTGACGTAGTCGATAACATTTGACCTTAGGTATGATACATTGATTTGCAGCTGACGTGAACATTTGTAAAAAGTATTTCAAATAATTAATCAACTCAAGAAAAAGAACGGAGACCTTTTTATTTCTAGATGAAATTGAGAACGACGTTGTCGATCACATTAGACATATAATCAATCTCGAAGTTAATATTTAGTACAATTAAATCGGAAATAGAGTATAATTGTACATGAACATGCACGCTTCAACTTTGCATGATGGTCAACCTTTTCTTCTTCTTCTTCTTCTGCGGAAGATCAGATGCTCTCATGTTGGAGAACTACTGTGTATTAAACGTCAATCGACAGTTTCATTAAATTCTTCTACGTGCTGATGATGGTGTTCTTTGTGTACTTGTAAAGATGAAGAGAACATTTGAACTTAAGCATCATCATAAACATCCTTTATGTCAATCATTTCGACGTGCAATTTTAATGTTGATATCAAAGAAAGGTTTGTCACATCGAGCATGTGTGTTGTTGATGTCATCTCTTTTCTCTTCATTCAATCAGATTGATTTATAGGTCTCCACATTGGATATTAATGAAGTCAAAACAAAAAATGATTTGGATCTTGAACTTTGAGAGAGAGAGAAAAAAATAGCCACATGGTTTCTTTTCTCTTTAGGCAAAACAGCTTTCAATCGTATTGAATCATTCACTCGTTAGTTCAAGAGTTCTTATCACGAACAAATGATTTGATGTACTCAAAGATGTTCGTTTTCTGTAGGATAAAATGTCAAAAAAAGAGAGAATCATATTGTACACTTAACGACAGCTGCTGTCGACATATTGTCATCTTTACTATCAGTAGTGACCTTCGAATTCGAATTTTATCATTCGAGTGAAGGTGATAACGATTGATGTTTTCATTTATCGTCATGTAATAATTATAGAGCATTTATGCAGATTGTTATGCTTATAAATATGAACGATAGTTTCGATTAGACCCTTAAGTGTGTCTACGAATGTGAATACACATGTAGTGATATTATTGTTTATGTCTCGTTCTGTCTACATAGCTATAAGCATAACATATCATCATTTGTTGGTTCAATTTTTAAACATTACATGGTTCGTTGAATGATACGAGTTGCTGAACTCATAACAAAATCTACTGTTAATCTTTTCTCTTCACTCATTGTTCGGATTTCGAGCTTGGACTAAGATTAAATACAAATCATATGCTTCTTCTTTGAATTGCTGATACGTCGCGACATGATGTTTCTCTTTCTATTGTATTTGACGCGTCATGTCGTCGATCTAAGGTCTTAGAATACGTGTGTGGGATGATGTATAGAGTAATCAACACCAGTAAAGTCAATTTGGCCATGTACGATGATGAGCACGCACACACACATACACATATATCTACTACTACTACTACTTCTTCTTCTTCTTCTTCGTGCGGGAGCACTGTCGGGGTCAACAATTTTCTTTGACTTGCGTCCTTCTTTCTTCTGCGTACGATGAACTGGCAATGTGTCTGCATATCACTTCATGTCTTGACAGCATTGGTTCAGCTACTCAGTGATTCTTGTTTACATACAAACTGTTCGTCTTCTTTTTCTGTCTCTCTAGATGTTAATGACCGGCACAAAAGAAACGGTGATTAAGCATGATCATCATCTTTTTCACCTATATCAATTCCTTCAGCAAATAGAACTCAACGAATATTACACATTGATTGTCGAAAAGCTCAAGGTAAGAGATAGAAAAGAGAGAAAGGGAAGAAAAAAACGAAATGAATGGAGAAAATGACGGGCAATTGAAATCAATCAATAGCAGTTCTTTTCATTTTTTTCGATCAACAAAAAAAACAGAAGTGCTTGAATGAAATCGAAAGAACTCTGAGGCACAGACTTTCTTGACGACGATGTCGAAGTGGATCAAAAATAAAGATGAGACAAACCATATACATTCCATGCGAAAGGTAATTGAATACAAATAAACTTCAGTCAAATCAACAGTCTTTTTTTTTGCATTCGACTTCTTTCAAGTTATGATGAGAAATCATCGACAGACTAATCTACTTTCTCTTTCTCTCTTGTGCTCAATTAGAAGCTCTACATATAGCACGTTGTTTATAGTAGGAATTTACTTCAAGAAGACGATAATTCATTTCGCACATGTCCTCCATTCACATGAGATCGATTATTAATGGATAAAACCTCAATTGCAGACTTCCCCTGTCATTTATATTTAATAGACATATTTATCTCTCTGTTGACCTTGATAATTTTGAAAATTGAGTTTAAGTTCGATTACTTTTCTATTTGAATTCATGCATGTAGATGTCTTATTTCTCTGCACACTTCTACGAAGCCAGTCTGACTAGAAAGAAGACTCGCTGTCGCAAACATACACACGCGTTCATGCTCCAGCTGTATGATGTAACGAGAACTGACCGCAAAATTGCGCAAGCGCATGATACACGAACATTTATTAGTATTCTTCATGATGAACAGTTCAGTGAAATGCAAACAAGCTCTCTTGCTTTCTGTCTGTCTGCCTATTTGTTCCTTAAGTATAATTGATGTTTTGTTTTCATTTTCATTCTGCAGGTGTATAGTATAGCTGACTTGCGGTATGTCAATGAAACCGATCTTCTCTCATTGGGCATGTCTAAACCACAATTTCGAAAAATGAAACGACATTTGCCACCAGCGTCGAATTCAACTTCAAATAGCAATTCAATGATAACAAGTACATTGAGCAAACTTCTAGTACGAGTAAGTGTTAGTGACAAACTTAAATGTTAAAAAGTGTCGACTAATTGATGTTCGTCGGTAAACTGATATATGTTCAGTTACAATCATTTTTTCCTTTCTTTCGCTACTGCTTTTCTTTCCTCGTTCATGCCGTTATCTTGTTCTTCTTGTCCTCTTCTCTGACCAGCATCGCATTACTTCTTCAACGGCCGTTCGGAACTCACTCTCTAGAGAGAAAAAGAAGAAGAAGAAGAAGAAAAAGCGGAATTTCTCTTCGATTATCTTAGGCAACAGCAGTAGTAGCGGTCAGATGCAATGGAAAACAGGTGGTTATTTCTACGTTTACCTAAAGTTCAACGTCATTGTTTCTAATTCTATATCAACATATTAAGATCAATCTCTCTTTGATACGTGTCTATTTATTAGAAACTAACATTTCGTTCGTCGACATCCAATCTCTCTCGAAGCACGCATGAATTGAACAGTTATCATGAACAACAGGGTTCTTCAATAACACCACTGAATCAACAAACATCGATGGGGCAAAATCAGCAACAAAAGAATATTATTTCTCAACAGAATATTCAATTAATTGAACAAATTGGTGAAGGAGAATTCGGCACTGGTGATAAGAATCTCATCTGACTTTACTTCCGATTTTTAACATTCATTTTTCTTTGTAGTTTTCAAAGCATTTTGGAAAAGCAAACAGAATGAATTAGTAAGCACAATCAAATAAACTTTTCTTCCAAAGAAAATCAATATTTTCTTTAGTTAACCGTCGCTGTGAAACGTTTACATAAATTTGAACAAGCATTTGGTCTTGATGACCTACTAAAAGAAATCTGTGTCCTACAAGATACCGAACACGCACATATCGTTCAATTCTTTGGCATTGTTATCCAAGCAGATGGGTTATTTATGTTGGTAAGTCACAAATTGATATTTTGTAAAATAAACAACAAGATAAGATTACGTTTAGGTAACTGAATACGCTCATTCACGATCGTTGTATGAGTGTTTATTATTAAAAAACGCTAAGTGTGAATACACAATCGAAATTCTATTAGAATTTCTTCGACAAATCTCCACGGCGATGAATTATTTAGAAAAGAAATATCTCATTCATCGAGATTTAGCCAGTCGAAACATCTTGGTCTTCAGTAAAACACTGGTAAAATTTTCAATTCAATTCGATCCTTTCTTACTCCAGTTATGTTTCAGGTTAAACTTTCCGATTTCGGTCTTTCGCGTCTGTGTTGTTCAGAAACTGATTATTACAAAACATCATGGAAGGATACATTACGATTGCCGATAGCATGGATGAGCCCAGAAGCAATTAATTTCCTACGATTCACAAGCGCATCGGATATGTTTTCTTTTGGTGTATGTATGTGGGAATGCTTTAGCTACGGTGAAATGCCATGGCAAGGAATGACAAGTGCTGAAGTAAATATTTCTTTTCTTTTGTATTCGATTTAGTTAATCATAAGACAAGGAGAAGATTGGTTAGTTCTTTTGTATTATTTTAAAGGGTATCAATCACTTCGAAGAATATGACATATCACGTAGATGATTTTTTGACATTTAAATAAATCATTGATCAACAAATCCTTTGTTTGACAATACGTTTAGAAGAAAACGTAAACCTATTCTTTGGAACAATTTCGATCTCTCTAGAGAATTGTTCTAAACCAGAAATAAAGAGATAAAAGACAATATATCCTCTTTTCTATTGATCAGATTGTCAATGCTATCGACGCACCCAATTATCAACGATTACCCCGTCCTTCTTACGCTACAACAGAGTTATATCAAATAATGCTTCATTGTTGGAAGCATGAACCCTCTGAACGACCTACATTTGCACAATTAGAAAAAACTCTACGCGAAGTATAGAAATAATGATTTGTTTGCCATGTCTCCTTCTGAACTAATGTTTCATTCTAGATTGAAATCAAAAAAGTTCGATGGAAAGATACCAATGGCAAACCAACCAATTTACCCGACGGTTTTCTTTCCGTAGAATCCTGTCTGCTTGGACCATTGACAATTCTCGATCGCTGGTATGTGTGTGCATCAAATTTCGACAGCTTAATACATACGATAAAGAAAAGAAGAAGAAGAAGAAGAAAAAATGAGAGAAATGGTTGAAAGGCAAAGCAACGGTAGTATATATATATATATACACACACACTCGTGCTCGGAATTCATCGTTACATAAACACGCTCTTTATTTCTTTCTGGTGTGTGTATGCATGCAAACAGGCCGGGGTCATTTGTTTTATGATGCGACGCGCTACCTGTTACACACTTTCATTGATTGTTCGATCAATCGATCGTTTTTGCAACCTTGAGTCGCCATGTTGATAATCGTGAGAGAAAAAAAATTGGCAAAGAAAAGATTCAATTTCTCAATTACTGATGAACATTGCTCCTGCTTCACGTACACATATATGTATTCTTCTCTTCCATTCGTTCTCTTCATTTTTTTTCGTTTCGTTCATTTAGACAACATCTTTTTTCTTCTTCTTCTTCTTCTCCTCTCGTTCTTCATTCTTCCATCTGTTCTAGTCTTAACGTTCCCATATCATCGTCATCGGTCAATAATTTTCTCCAGTGCGTATCTGCAGACGGTCAAGTCGGTTTCGTTAATAATAGTGATGTTGAGCCATTACATGTTATTTCAATATCAAAACCACTGATTTCGACACCTAATCATCCTAATTCAACGTCATTCACAATGAGTAATTTATTTCATCGCAAAACAGGTTGATTACTTCGATCATTGATTCACCATTGTTATGTGTGCATTTGCTTGTAGACACGAAAAAGAATGTTGGAAAAACAAAAGGCAAACAATTATCAAAAGATATGATTGGTCTGCCTCAAGCTGATTTCATTCATGCATTTCATATTGGAGTATCAGGTATTTTGACAAAAAAATAAAAAGAAAATGATTGTGAAGATATGGAATGAAATATTTCTTTAGGTGAAACATTTGGTGATGTGACTTGTCTTGCTGGAGTGGAGAAAACCGATTTAATTAAGATACCTATTGAAAGAAGTCCATCGACTGTTAATGGTAATTGTTCAAATATCGGCATAGGCTGCATACTTGACTTTCCCTCTTGTTTCTTTCTATTTCATTGTAAAGAATTTGAATCAAATTATAAACAGCCTATTCTTACTCCTGAACAGCAAGAAGAAGAAGAAGAAGTAGCGATACTTTCTGTTGAACAGCGAACGGTGAGTCGGTTATAGATCGTTTAGTTTTATACAAACGATTCATCTTATTTTAGGAGGAAATCGCACCTTCATCATTACTGGATGAAGTATTACAAGCGTTTACAGAAATTTATTCTGAACCTGATACACCTCCACGTTTAACAGTAGATCATACTTCAATAAAACCACCACCAAAACCTGAACGAAGTGAACCAACCTCTCCAAAATCTCCGACGATTGATGTAAGTAACGATTTCTAACTTTGTGCAACACGTTCTACAGCGTACGAGTTTCAGCAGGAACTTTGACTCTTTCTCTCCTTGTTGAACCCTCTTATTATTATTCTAAGAGGAACAAAGTTTAATTTAGTTATAAAACAAGGTCAATATGTTTTCGTAAGTTTATGCTCTCGAGTAGAATATTGTTCTTGTCTCTCTCAACAAGTATATGTATGCAGAAGAAAATGGCGCAACACTAACAAATGAATGATTAGTTCATTCTTGAAATCGAATGTGAAAATGGAAAGACGCGAAAGTGTTGTGTCAATTTGTGCTTGATTGAATCTGACAAATCTATCGTAAAACATATTAGTATCGATAACTATTCCACATGTGTGCTTGACGATCACACATATGAGATTAATAATTGTGTAGTAAACAGATCAGACTGATGATGAAAGATATACGAAGCGTGATGGAATTAGTTCGTAAATATATGACAATCTTTGGTTTTTTTTAGTTGAAATTATCAGCAGTGCCTTTGACAAAAATCGACTTTAATCAATCTCCATTGGAAATCGTGACAGGTATTTTGAAAAGAACGAATTCAATTGAATGCGATTGTTCGTTGATTACAGATTCGAACAGTCGATCACCTATTCATACTCGTCTACCATCTAAATCTCCATTAAAAAAATCGAATGAAGAAACTTGTCGATTCACACGTGAACTCGAACAACGTCTACAAAATGGTTTGTGCATTTCATCTCTCGTCTGCTCGTTCTAATTCATTCCATTTAGGTGACATAAGCGAAGAAGCAAAACATGCTTACAATCTATTAGTAAATGGTCATACAGACAGTTCATCATTAATACACGAACAAGATTCACACTCAACAAGCAATGGTGATTTATCGTCAAATAATCACGAACCATCAAATGATATTGTCCATCATACAAAACAATCACCTACACAGCCGCATGCACCTATAGCATTATTTGGCTCATCATCTTCATCATCATCGACGAGTATATCAACAAGTTCAGCTAGTAATCATACACAATCAAATACATCATCATCATCTAATCAACAAAAATCTGACCGACATTCGCATTATTCATCAACATCAACTGATAATGATATTAGTATTGATCTAAAAACGCAAACAGAATTATCTCCATTGAAGTGAATACCTCGTTTTCTTCGCAAAACGCCTTTCTAACTTTGCTTTTTCAGACTTCTTCGAAATAATTGTAATCCAACTCATTTCATGTCGAAATCCATACGTCAACAAACATCAACAAATGAAATCAATTCATCAAATCATTCGCCTGTCTCATCAGCATCGAATACATTAAGTAACTTATCGTCCACATCGCCCGTATTCGATCATCACAGTGCTCTGCCAGTAGCTTCACATTCATCTTCATCATCCAATCTCGACGATAATCGTTCCTTGTCGAGTTTATACTCTCGTTCATTGTCAACGACCAAAAGTGAACAACAATCGATCACCGGACAGCCTTTACCACCTCCACCAGATCTCTCGAGTTTAGGCAGTAAACTAACAACAGCAACAATGACCCATACATTGAAAATACCTGCGCCATTGACGTCGTCGAATACATTTCGATCGAAAAGTAATATCAGAGTTGATCAAATCTGACAGATCGATTAATTGTCTTTATTTTAGAACGATTCAATCTGTTTACTTGATTGCTCTATTCTCGAATGTTCGATCTCCTAGTCAAAAAGCGAATTTCTCTTTAGTTTTCGTCGTGTTTATTATTTGCTGATCGAACCGTCCTTGGCATCGTCGCCTGAATTTGTCTTGACAATGACATCAAACTCTATTTTTTATTTCCTTCTGTGCGTGTTCACTATTTTCTTTTCTTTCAACGAACAGTGTGTCATATGCATTCGCTGTTATTGTCTTCGCTTACTAAATTAATCAATGATATCGTTCAAAATAAAGATCTCTTTATCTCTGTTTTCTTTCTCTTTTTTTTTTCATCTATGTCTATAAATAATAATATATACTGTCATTCGTTTTTTTTGTCTCTTCTCTCCTGTTCTTTGGTTATGGTTTGATGAAAGGATAAAATACATGTTTATTATTCTTATGAATGAGATAAACGAAATTTACCTGATGCATACAATCGAAAAGGATATTTTTTGTGAAATCGATCTCGAACAATGACGTCTTCGAGTATACCTCGTCTTATTCATCATTGCTTGCACTTCAATACACAACAATTACGCACAAGTATTCATCATGTGTATAGTACGTAGGTGGATTGATTACGAACTAATTGGCTTGAAATTATATCCTTTCTTTAATGGAATTCATATTCTTTGCAAGAAAAGTTATTTCTGTCAAGAGGGAAGAGAAAGAAATCTTAGTTTGAACTGATGCAAAAAACGAGATAATAATAAATGCCTCGACATCTTGAAAAATCGTAAATAAGTATTAACTATGATTGAATTTATATGATTTCCTCTATTTGAAATTTGAAAATGCAATTACTAATCAGTAATTCTATTGGGATTCTACTTAATCAAAAAGATTTCATCCAGAGAATATTTAGTATTTTCTTCTCTGCTTTAGTTGGATATTTGTCCATGCTCCGATTCCATTGACATTTGCCTATGTTGTCTTCCGCTTGATTTACTCTGCTGCTGTTTACCATGTTGTCGTCCACCTCGGTAAGACTGATTCATCGACTTTTGTCTATATCTATGAGATTCTTTGTTTAGTGAACGTGTTGTCTATGTTCCTGCCGGTCAACCGATGTATTCAAATGATACGCATGGGTTTATCACACGACAACCTGTCGTGCGCTATTAATCGAAGGGACTCATCGATATTTAGTTTCTCATCCCGAAGTGAATAAATGACAGAAGAGGAGAATTCTACTCTTTGTTTTTATCCTTACAGAAACTTTAATCAGGCTGAGTGATGTTGTCTAAAATACATCAAATCGACAATTATATTATCGTATATGGAATATTTCCCTATTGAAATCATCAATTTTAGATCATCAGATCTGAATTTTCTTTTGGCAATAATGATAGGAAACTCTCCGAGGATTATGAATAGCAAAAGACGAGCGAGTTTACAGCGTTCTCTTTCTGCTTTTTTTCAAAATTATTAATCGTGCAACATTGAAATTGCTTGGCATCGAGATGATTATTCGAAAGAATTTCAATCACATTATCATATTTGACACAAAACAAGAAGAACAAGAAGAAAAAGAAGAAAGATGTTAGGAGAAATACTTATTCCATTTCTTTTTTCCCACTAATGACTGGAAGTTTTCTATTGGCTTCGGAAAGTAAACCAATGGAAATGAATCTGTCGTTCTTGATTCGAAATACAATGTGTCAATAACGAAAGAATCCAACAATTTAGCTGGAAGAAAGAAACTGCATGTAGATTTGATTTTCATTTTTCGAAGAATTCATCAGCTTATGTTCTAAAATGATTATTTCGACTCGTGACTGTGCATTCGTGTGTATCCCTAGCGGCCATTCCACTCTTTCTTTTCCTTCCTATCTCTGACTGGATGAGAATCATCTTGCATTTAGTTGCTCACTCCGTTCTTTGCCTACTACTATTTTTCTACAACTGCTGTTTCTTCTTCTTCTTCTTCATCGACAGCGGCATCGTCTTCGACATTCTCGACTTTCTCTCCATCTTCTTCCCCTTCTTCGTCTTTTCTTCGCTCGCTCGGTTTGTCTGTCTTCTCTCTCTCTCCTTCTCTCCACCTGAATCGGCATCGGGGCTCTGCTTCTGCGTGTGTCGTCGACCAGAAATAAGCTTCTTCTATAGCTGCTACTGCTGCCGCTTCTACTATTGCGACAAACAACGACAAGAATCTTGGTCGTTTTGTCGCGTTTATGCAACATATATCACTAACATACGCATGTTGATCTAGTAGTTTTCTATTTAACAATGATGATGACCCAACGTCCACCTCCATCTATTTATTCAGTTTCATATTATCGAACAAAACCAACTTTTCCTGTCTTGTCTGTATGAAATATAACAATACTCTATTCAACAAAATTCTCAATACTATTAACAATAATAACACGACCAGTACTGACAACAACAACAACAACAACAACAATAGTAATACTACTAAGAAAGATAATCAGAACATAAAGGTGTCGCCTCCTACAACAACCTCCATGAACAATATGGCTGCTGTAACAAATAACACACCAATATCGAATTCGATTGTGACATCCACTCGTTTCACTGATGAATATGATCTTAAAGAAGAACTTGGCAAGTAAGTAACTATAGACATGTTGTTCGATTTTATTATTCCCTTCCCATTTTCCCCCTTCTAATTTCCCATGCATTTGATTCATATCGTGAATCAACATAGAAAACAATTGTTGACTATCTTCTCTCGTGAGTCCAGTTCTAAATTGCAATCAAACATTTTGTCACCGAAGTTACTACATTGGTGAACCTGCATAGAATACCGCTACCCTGTCTCTCTCTCTCTCCTGATTAATCGCGTTTGCATGTCGCGGATATTATTTTTCTCCCGTTCTCTTCATCATCATCATCTTCATCGTCGTCGTCGTCATCATCATTCTCATTTTTCCCTTCCCTTTCTCATTCGTATTCTGACCTCATTTTTTACTACTAACACTAGTCACTGACAAGGATGAGAAAAGCAGATCACTGTTATATGTTGTCGTTCAAGTCTAAGACCAAACGTATATTATCATAATTGAGGCAACGACAAGATCAGGAAGGAAAAAAAGTCATTATCATCAAGCCGGCAGTTGGCTTCGTAGAGCAGCTTCAGTCAATTGTTTGAATACACATTTTTTTGTTGTTGACTAACTGTTCATCCATGCAGGAGTGTTAACAAGAACAAAAAAAATGCGTTGGTGTTCTTCGCCTATGGCAAGGAAAAATGTCAAAGAAGAGAAAAAAAACGAAGAAAACTTGTTCCGAATGAAAGAGAAGCGTGTGTAGAACAAAACAAAATTCATTAATAATGGATTATAATCAATTCTATGCTATTAAGAATGGCTATGTAAATGTATTTATTCTTTGTATTTTCAGAGGCGCATTTTCAATTGTCAGACGATGTATACAGAAAAGCTCCGCACAAGAATTTGCTGCTAAAATCATTAATACCAAAAAATTATCCACCCGAGGTTAGAAAAACAGTCGGACTTTACGAATTGATCTTTGTTTATGTATGTAGATCATCAAAAACTCGAAAGAGAAGCACGTATTTGTCGGCAATTAAAACATCCCAATATTGGTAAAGATTTCTTCGTTGAAATCAATAAATGTTTCTGATCAACTGTTTATTTAGTTCGTCTGCATGATAGCATTTCCGAAGAAGGTTTTCATTATTTAGTATTTGACTTGTAAGTTTTGCAATTTCTATTCCAATGTACTCGACAGAAAGACAAACAAGCTGATGTACTATTTTGTTCAGAGTCACCGGTGGTGAATTATTCGAAGACATTGTCGCCCGAGAATTCTACAGTGAAGCAGATGCTAGGTATTCAACGTGTTTAAACTTTTGAATATCTTGTTTCACTCTTATCGGATATTATTTTAGTCATTGTATACAGCAAATACTTGAAGCTGTTCGTCATTGCCATGAGAGTAACATTGTACATAGAGATTTAAAAGTAAGTTGCTTGGTAAATATTGATTGTTGAAGTTCTGTGTTCTTTTCTTGTTCTTTCTAGCCTGAAAATCTTTTGCTCGCCAGTAAAACAAAAGGAGCAGCTGTCAGTAAGTAATCATTGAAGAGGACGACTTCAGCTGAAGATTTTTGAAGGTCATTAGTAGCTCTCTGCTCATTTGATCGAGAGGAAAATGATGTAGATTATTTCCGTCATAGGAAATGAGTACAGCCATTTATCATTTTTCTTTCAAATGTAATTCGATCTTGTACTTTCTCTTCTTTTCCTTCTAGAACTTGCTGACTTTGGTCTAGCAATTGAGGTTAATGGAGATCAAACACAGTGGTACGGTATGTATTTTGCGAAAAAAAAGATTTACTCAATAGATACTTATTCGGCGGAATTTATCGATAGGTTTTGCTGGCACTCCTGGTTACCTCAGTCCTGAAGTCCTCAAAAAAGAACCTTATGGCAAACCCGTCGATATCTGGGCATGTGGTACGTATTTTGTTGCCTGACAAAACAAAAGCGAATGTTCTCGTATTGAAAACTCGTTCTTAGGTGTTATCCTATACATTCTCCTCGTGGGTTATCCACCCTTTTGGGACGAAGATCAACATCGTCTATACAATCAAATCAAGGCCGGCGCCTACGATGTAAAACAGCGCACGTTAATTATAACTAAACGCATTCCTATATTTAGTATCCATCGCCTGAATGGGATACGGTCACAACTGAAGCAAAACGTTTGATCGATTCGATGTTGAATATCAACCCGAGCCGTCGAATAAGTGCAACAGATGCGCTGAAACATCCGTGGATTTGTGTAAGTTATTTGAAAAGGAAAAGAGAAACGAATCGAATTGAGATTTGTTTGATTTCCTCAAGTAAAGATACATTTATGGCTTATTTACCGATTTTATTTGCTCAATGAATGAGAATTAGTAAGGAAATAAAGGAAAGGGGAAAGAGAGAGAAAGAGAAAGAGAAAATAACGTTAATGACGTGAGGATGTTCGACGAAACGATTATTTGACATCAGCTAAAACAGGCCCGATGCATTTAAAATGGAATGCATTGGTGCGTCTCGTTTCCCCCTTTTTCCTCTGTCTCTCTTCTGAGTTTCTCCTTCTCCTTCACCCCCTCCTTTTTCCTTTTTCTGCTGTAGAAAGAAGACAAACAAGGAAAATAAATCAGAGTCATTATTGATAGAAAGGACAAAAAGAAAGAAGACGAAGATTCAAGCATTCTACACTTGATTCGATTAAAACCAACGAGAGAAACAATAGAAAAGCATCTAACCAAGCGAAAAACTCTCTTTTTATATCTCATTTTAGCAACGTGAACGTGTTGCTGGTACAATCCATCGACAAGAGACTGTCGATTGTTTACGTAAATTCAATGCACGACGAAAATTAAAGGTAAATAACCTCTCTCCAATTATCTAACACATGCTAAATGGGGAAAAAAACATGTTAAAAATCAAAAACTGTGACATACAATCATTCATTGACCTGTTTTTCTCTGAATAATACTGCATGTTTCTCGCTATATTTTGCATCATATGCATGATCGTAAGCAAAAACGATGAATTTTCCATCTAACGCCGATCCAACAGTGACACTAATCATCGGAATTTTTCTGCTTTTCAGGGAGCAATCCTATCGACAATGTTTGTTAATCGTACATTAATTCCAAGTAAGTTTCACTAGTCTCCTTATTCTATTTCTTTCTTGCACGGCTAACCTGTATACCAGAGATTCTTCATCGCTTTTTGTGTTGTCGTCGTCGTTGTCGTCTAATTTTATGTTCATATTTTCTCCAAGCTCGTCTTGCTACTTTTTCTTCTCGACTTACACACATCATGTTGAATCTCTCAACGTAAACTTCTTCATCATTCAATCGTTATGTTCGAATCGATGTGTTATTTGCATTCTCTCTCTTGTTAAATTTCTCTGTACTTTATTTAGAAGCAGATGCGAGTCCAATTTGAAAAACTCTCTACAAATAATACATTATGACATTATCGAACCCCCTAAAATTGACAGTTTTCTTCGTTCCTAAAGTCATATCTATTTCCAGACGGGATAAGGAGCTTCTTCTTCTTCTTCTTTTTCATAGTTAAGGAAATAACATATATATATCTCGTTTTATGTTTTGAACCCACCCTGCATGATATACATCTTATTCGTTGACCCTCTATATAATCATTTTTTTGTGTAATTATATACATGTGTATGTATTTTGATTAATCTTGCTCGTTGTTGAATATTCTTATTTTCTTGTCCCTTGAAAACCTTGTGACTTCAATATGTGTGCGCGTAATCGTTTTGTGCGACAACAAATAAATGGCATGCGTTATATATGGATGAAAATCACCTTACATGTTGTTGGAAATGAATGGATCGATTTTTAGATGCCGGAGTGTTTTCAACCGGAAATAGCGGAACACAATCCCCTACTAATGGCAAAAAGCCACTACCTTCAACTGGTGTCATATCACCGCTTTCAAGTCCGATTATCTCAGCTTCTATTAGTGGAGGTACGCGCGTATATATATGTATCGATTTCGTACATATCTGAATGTATTTCTTCTTCGCACTTGCTCAATTTTGTTGTAAACGTAGGTCGAAAGTTCGAACACTGTTCTCAACTCTTGTTTTTCTTCTATTATACTCTGAAAATTCTCTCTCTTTACGTATAAATGTGCTTGCAAACGCTCACCTCTCTTGCTTAAATCAAACGATAAGCGTGATTTAACCAAACTAACTAGCTTCATCTATTTCTTCGTCTATATGCCCAAAACTTCTTCTAGGTACTCGGTCACGCCCAACAACACAGAGTGGTAATAGTGGAATCAAAGAATCGGGAGATAGTAACAGCGCCACGATTGACGATGCCAACGATATTGAACGAACTGAACGATTGAGTAAGTGGTGCATCGATGCATATTTCGTGTATATTTTGTCATGTTTAATCAAAATAAATCAATCAATTCTTAGCTGCTAAAAAGACAACATCACCTGTAACTAAAGTAGGAAATCTAAGTAAGCACATATGAAATCAAATTGAGATGCTATACTATTCTTATTACACGCATTTGATCACTTGTTAACTTGATATTTATAACACTGGGTTTAAAGAAACTAATTTTTTTCTGATTGTTCATGTTATCTTTAGAACAAAATCTTGAAACTCAGATTTTCTTTTTTAATCATTTTAGCCTTGGAAATCACGAAAGTAACCGAACAACTACTACAAGCCATTGCTAACAGTGATTTCGACATGTATAAGTAAGTAGATTGTCAACTCGGTGGAGTTTTATTTAAAGATGAAATTCTGTTTTAGATCACTATGCGATCCGAAGATTACCTGTTTTGAACCTGAAACGATAGGAAATTTAGTTGAAGGTCTTGACTTTCATAAATTTTACTTTGATACAGGTACGTAGCAAGAAAAAAAAACGAAAGGAAGTCACATTTCGTGTTAGCAGTATCCATAGAAAAGCTTGATTGTAGTTTTGTTTCTGCGATAAACTATATCCCTAAATTCAATTTCAGGACGATTCGCTCGTTCCGATACAGGTAATAGAATGTTCTCTGTGGTGATGTGACTCGTTGTTTTTACCGCTGAATTCATTTCTGCAGTCATCAACTAACATCATCTCGTTTTATTCTAGTCTTATCTGCGAAAGCAAGCAAACCCACAATCAATTGTACCATGCTAACACCAGTTGTGCACACATTGGGAGATGAAGCAGCTTGCATAGCTTATATTTTACTTCTTCAATATATGGATCGGTATGTACGACAACGTGATTCAGTTGCGCACTCAGCGATTATTTTGCTTTTCAGAAATGGTCAACCACAAAGTGTTCGCACAGAGGAAACTCGTGTATGGCACAAAAAGGACACACGTTGGCAATGCGTTCATTTTCATCGTTCTGGTATGCCAGTGGCATCAGCGATAAAATCTTCATTTACGACTTCTTTATTATGAATTTGAACAGAAACATATATGGTAGTATGTGATGACTAATTCATTCTTTTTATAGACAAAAAATTTCTGATCACGAGTTATTTTATCATATGTTGAACACCCTTCTTCTCTTTGGAGTATTTCATTCCTTTTCAATGTTGTCTCAGTTCTCTACCTCAATATTTTGTGTGCTTATGTTTGACACTAAGGATTCGATTGTTTTCTTTTTTTTTTGTGAAATTGACTCTCCTTTTCTTCTCTTAAGGGCGAGCGCGTATCTACTATTCATTCGAAAGATTTTCTTTCTAATTGACAATATATATATGTATACACGTATAGGAAAAAGTATTTCATTTTGATTTGTTTATTTTTCCGTTGATTGATCAATACATGTATGTTGTTGTTGTTGTTGCTCATACCCTTCTTTTCTCCATTTCTTTTGTTTTGGCTTATTATTTGTCCTCTTTTATTCTTTCGTTGGATCGGTGATGATAAAGACGTTTTCTTTTTCTGTCAACAAATAAATTTCAAAAAGATTTTGACGAGATGTCTTTGTGTTTTCTAATTGAAAATGACAACGTAAGAAGGGAACTTCCGACGTTAAGTTTCTGACATTTTGACATGTACTTCAGAAATATTGAATGAGATTGAAAGAGGAAAATTAATTGATATTTGATGAAGACGAAAATAGGAATAGGAAGAGAACCTCAATGACAGCTGTTTTCCAAGTGTTGCTTAGCTTTACGGGCAACATCTGTTTAAAAAAATAAGTCTTAAGAAGAAATAAAAAATACGAAAGTCTATTATAATGATTTTTCATTTGTCGTTTAACCACCAATCTGGATGGTTTCAAAGGTGAATGGGAGAGCAACGGGCATCTGCTCTTATCTGTTCTTTATAAACAGCGTTAACATTCGAATGAGACTCTGTTTTATTCATTCGTTTCTTTTAGATAGCAATGTTTGCAAAGTGTTTCGTCTTCGTTGCACTTTTTCTCCTCACATCAGCTAATGATGATCCATCTTTTCAACGATATCGAGGTCATATTGTGAAGAAAAATGGCAAATACGAAATTGTCACAGCTTTAGCACGCGATTACAAAGAGCCTAATCCAAACGTTGACAATGTCTTAGCCAGTGGATTTTGGGATCAAACTTACAATATTACTGGTTGGTCGGTATTAGAAATCAAAACTTTGGAAAATCAGACCAATTTCGATCAAGCCTATTCAGCTGGATTACTCGAAGGACAATTGACACGAGGTTTGATTTAGTTTTGGTAAATTCGATCGATATCGATTCGTTCTTTTCCGATAGATTTGACCTGGATGCAATGGCAGAACAACATCAATGATATTTGTGCTAATAAAACAAAATTTTGTAACTATTTGAAAGAATTTCTCAGTATACAACTCGATTGGATGTATACGCAAATTGAAAGTTATCCTGATGATGAGTATTGGCATCAAGTACGTGCAACTAACGATGTTTTTTTTTCTTTAGCTGTGCGTGTTTATTTAGGTTGATTTGCTTCTTATTCAACTAAATGGTCTTATCGATGGACATTACAATACGCCCCGTGAACCAAGACGTCGACTTGATGATCCACTTGGATTTCTGTAAGGCAATTATAATTAGTGGGTTCGCGTTAATATTGGTTGTTTTCTTTAGATTATTTCAAGTGGTAGAATCTGTTGGCGATTTAGCTGAACGGTTTGGTATTCCAGATGTTGAACGGCACGATAGTTGCTCTGCGTTGATTAAAGTAAATAAAGCCTGCAAATGCATACTAATCATAGATTGCATGTTCATCTGTTCTAGATTTTACCAGGCAATTCGGATGTCTTCGTTTCCCATGCTGATTGGAGTCACTTTAAATCAATGTTAAAAGTCATCAAACGTTACAACATGCCATTAAAACGTTCAATTGATGCCGCAAGTAAGTCGACAGGATTTAAGATCTTAATCTATATTGTTTGTTAACTCTAGGTGCAACAGTTCCAGGTGCTGAAATCATATTCTCATCGTATCCTGGTACACTTCACTCTGTCGGTTAGTTCTTCTAATCACTGATAAGTATCATTTCGAAACATTGTGTTCATGCTAGATGATTTTTACATGACACGTCCAGCGAGTTTGACTGTCATTGAAACGACAATTGTTAATTTTAATGAGAATCTACATCACAATATCATTCCCATTTCGGTACCTGAATGGATTCGCGTGGTCGTATCAAATCGACTATCGAATAACGGGCAAGAATGGATTGATAAATTCTTTTCTTTCAATGATGGAACATACAATAACGAATGGATGATTACAGATTTCAAGCGATTCACACCGGGACAGAAACCCCAAGCTGGGTAAAGTTATGCTTCAAAGGCGAATAGTTTGTTTCATAGCTTTTCTGTTTCTAGATTTCTAATGGTGGCTGAACAAATGGTAACAGATTTCGAGTATGTAGATATGACTGATAAATTGAATGCCGATACTTACTGGGCGTCGTACAATAATGTTTATTTTCCTGACTTCCGAAATTTGTCCGGTGAAGAAGCGATGGTTCAGAAGAAAGGACCAGAACTATACTCATGGCATGATTCTTCCCGTGCCAAAATCTTTCGACGCGATCAAAACAAGGTTGTTGATCTTCCATCGATGATCAAGATGATGCGGTATTCGAATAGGAAACAATTCGTGTTGCATCGAAATAAAAATTCTTCTCATTTCAGATATAATGATTTTAAAAACGATAATTTGTCGGCTTGTAACTGCACTCCACCATACTCATCAGAACTGACAATCGCTGCTCGATGCGATTTGAATCCAGTCGACGGAAAGTATCCCGATGAACCGCTAGGACATCGTCCCCACGGCGCCACCGATGCTAAAGTAAGTATAGATGTTCCATTCTAGTAGCAATTTTTACTGTTTGCTATGCGTTCCAGATTGCAAGTTATGCATTGATGCAAAATTTCACACTTGTCGCCGTTGCTGGTCCAACATCTGACCAACAACCGCCATTTGTCTGGAGTGAATCTGACTTCAACACGAAGTTTTCACATATTGGTCAGCCAGATAAATGGAACTTTACAGCATTCACACCAACATGGATGTTATCATGAAATGACTCTGTGATATACAACGTAAATGATTTATCAAATAAACGTGCTTTCAATCATATTCGTCCTTTTTTTATATTGAATAAATTTTACTAGCTAACTCTCGTTTGTTTTTACTCTTTACTTAGTGATTCTTGTCTAAAGGGTGTATTACCATACAATGAAGTCATGCTTGTCTTTTTTGAAAAGAAAGCCTTCAATTTGAATCGAATTGTGATGAGCATACTTAATAATCTACATAAAAAACACGCGAAGATTTCCATAAATTTACCATTTCCGAGCCGATGTTTCGAGTATGCATCACTTAATCCGTAATGGAGAATAAATTTGATTTTGTACACTTCACAACGTTCGTTTCAGCGACACATAAGAGACTCTTGAAAACGTCTCTTCACGCCCTCTATCGCTCGTACGAAAATAATCCGGTAAAGCGACGATCTTTGTCTCAAAATTTGTCTAAATCAGCATGGAGTTTACTTTCAATATTTGAGTGAAAAGCAAGACTTCGCGAATTTAACCAGAGTCAGTTACTAGGTGATACCTCAGCCATATTTGAAAAGTAGAAAAAGAGAAATAAACAGTCTTCGTTGTCGTCGATCAACACTGTGTTTCCAGAGTGACTGAAGTATCTATGACAATCAGACTTGCTACGAATTCCTTCATTTTCTTCTCATTATTCGTTTATTCTTTCAGAGATATGTTCAAAAATACGTTTCAAAGTGGCTTTCTTTCCATATTGTACAGCATCGGTAGTAAACCCCTACAGATCTGGGACAAGAAAGTACGATAAGATCAAAAAGCAAAACTTAGGTTTATCATCTTTCGTTTCGGTTTAGGTACGTAATGGACATATCAAAAGAATAACAGATAATGAAATTCAATCGCTCGTTTTGGAAATAGTTGGCACAAATGTGAGTACCACATATATCACATGTCCAGCTGATCCAAAAAAAACTCTTGGCATTAAATTACCGTTTCTTGTTATGATTATCAAAAATCTAAAGAAATACTTCACATTCGAAGTTCAAGTAGGCGTTTTTCTTCATAGAATCGTTCGGCTTTTCGAATGCTAATCGTAGGTTCTGGATGATCGAAATGTTCGTCGTCGATTCCGAGCGAGTAATTACCAATCAACTACGCGTGTAAAACCATTTATCTGTACAATGCCAATGCGCTTGGATGATGGTTGGAATCAGATTCAATTCAATCTATCGGACTTTACTCGACGTGCCTATGGTACTAATTATATCGAAACGCTTCGGGTTCAAGTCAGTACTTCCCCTTTAGAAAGATTTCTTCGATGAAAATCGTTTCTAGATTCATGCTAATTGTCGTATTCGACGTGTTTACTTCTCGGATCGACTCTATTCTGAAGATGAATTACCGCCGGAATTCAAATTATATCTACCGGTAAGATACGAACGTTGCACCAAGCTTGTTTTTCGTAACAATCTTTCTTCTCTAGGTTCAAAAGAAATAATCAATTTGATCATATACATTTCATTACGTTCTTTTTTCTTAGTTCTATTTTTCTTCGACAAACACAAAAATAAAATCTATACAGAAACAAGATTCCTAACGATTTCTAATGATCAATTAGATGTATATGATGGCTTTTGCTAGGAGGATAATTGTTTACAGCGAGTATATTCTTCACGAGGGCTCGTACCTATATTCGTAATGGAAAAAAACAAACTTTTTCCATTACATCGCATTTCCTGTTATGTTAAAAGAGATTAGAAATATTTGTTTTTTTACGTCAGAGACGTTTCTTTCGCGCTTCGAAATGAGAAGTATTAGAATGGTAGCCACCTAAGCAGAAGTAATGGAATCTTTCAGGATGCTCTAGAAAGTGTTCCTCTGTAAATCCTCAAAGTCATTCACACAAAATGCAAGCGAGTTTCCATGAACCGTTTTGAAACTCTATTCAAATTACTGCCACAGGTTGCGGTCACATATTTCTATTGAAATTCCATGGAAGTATAAAACAAAACTAACTATCGAATACAATAGTTAATGTAAGAAAAAGGTGGAACAGTTTTGAATTCGAAAAAAAATGATCATATTAGTAGGAAAAAATTACAAAAAAACAAACATATGTTAGTTGTCTTTGGAAATCTTAATGACAATGATCGTTATAATCGATAGCAGATGAACGACGCCAGCCGAAAAGAAAGTGTCCCATGCCAGCACCAAGAACAACGGCGAAAAATAAATACGTATTGAATGTCATCGCTACCAACATCAACCCATAGCTAAGAGTCATTTGAAGAATATGTAACAATGTCTGAACGATGTGTGCCATACTGAATAAACGACCCCTAAACATGAAAAACATTCCAATAGAAGAGAAGATCGAGATCAAATGAAAGAATGCTAATCATAATAAGGAATCGATTCTCACCGTATGGTTTCATGATTTCGAAGTACATGATGTTCGTCGTCCGAGAGACTAAGCAATCGCAAAGGAAAAACAATCATATTTATAAAGCAAATAAATAGCAAGCATTGCAAAGCATTTTTAATTTGTATGCGAAGTGTGATAAGTATACTCACATAGTTTGTGTACGATTTTGACTCGGAGAACACGTTTCACACAATTCACGTCTCGCTAGACTATCTCGGACAGATTTTAATCCTTCGTATAGTACAGCAACGAGAAACACAGCGAACCATGAGCCAACAAATGCTTGATGAAGAAGAAAAAGTTGTTTTTACAAACAAAGTTTGATAGGAAATACCTACCACCGACTGTTTTTGTGCTCCATTGATCGAAGAGGATTTGCTCAGTGTAGCCGCCATGAAAGGTCATCTTTTAGAAAACAAAATTCTTAGCAAACAATATGTTCCGTTATTTGAATCATCATCGAACGATAGGAGTGTCTTTTTAAATATGACCTCGATTACTCGTAAAAACAAAGGCAAATACTCACGGCCATCATCATCATATCTTTCATATTATGAACTCCATGGCCAGTCGACATGGAATTGGTGTCAGACATTTGTTCCATCATATGATGATCGTGGTTCATCACAGAACTAGTTGTAGATGCCATTGCTGCATGATCATGGACATGATCCATGTTGAGTTCTAAAATAACAAAAGAATTAAATCTCTCTCTCTATTCAGTCGTTATCAATCGTTCTTTCAGTTATCTTCAAAAAGAAAATGATGTAAGTAAAGCAAAAAAAGAAGACGAAAGAACTAACACACAAAAGAAGATATCGGTTAACGAATGACATATCAAACCTGATGATGATGATGATGATGATGATGGTTGTTTTCTATTTTTATTGTCACTTTTTGAATAAAGTTTTAAATAGATAAGGACAAAAAACAAAACGAGGATAATATAAATCTTTCGACGGTAATCCCGACAAAATTGCATACATAGAAATCAAAATGTTATCATTCATTAGGTAAATATTCCTTGCAGTAATCGATTTGAATTCATGGTGAATGAAACACTCAAAACGAATGATATTAACCAATGGCGAATATGTCGCTCGATGACAGTCGATTTCACCGTACCTACGTAGTCGTTAATATCGGGGTTATTTTTTTCTTGCTGGTACAAAGCTGCGTTTATTGTGTACAACATTTACCTTCATCATATTTCACAAATATTTAAGGTTTCCAATAACCTTCGAGATGTAGCAAGAGAGTATTTTCCGACAAAAATGGTGTTGATGATACCGTTTAATGAAATTGTCTGAACAGGCATTGACAAATTAATTTTACTTATTGTGAAAATTTCCTCTTCTGAAAATAACGTTCTGGCAAGTCATTAAATGATTGTTGCATGACTTGACAATAATCTTATTTAGAAATATTCCGGATTCATTCGAATAGACTTTCCTTTCACAATGAGTTAACTGGCAAAATCAAGTGCTTTTCTATTTGATTTGGCTGCTCTTTTTTCTATTATTTCTCTAAGAAGATTTGAATAAACGAACTAAAATATTTATGATCTTTCTTTCTTTCTTGATTATGTGCAACACACCGGTTGAGTTATGTTGGGTGTCGTCGGCATCGGAAGTAGCTGATGGTAAACATTTGTATATATATGCTGATGAATATGATATGGAAAAAAAAGTTTCTGGAAAATGAGAAAATGGCAGGTCTCTACCGAGAGACACTGGCTCCTTTCTTTTTCTCGTCTATCCAAATCAATTTTTTCCTCATACAAAAGGAAAACGTTGGGTAAAGCTGCCGAAAAAAGAGAGAAATGGGAGGTGAAAGAAAAAACTTAGACAACATTTACAGAATGAGATCGAGATATATGTGTATAGAAAAATTCAAGTAAAATAGAGAAAAATTAATAAGAAAAAAAAAACACTGTAAGTTGTTTTTTCGAGATGAATTTATTAGATTACTTTTTTTCTCTTTTGTGGACGTGTTTAGTTTGGAGCAACTAGCAAAAATAAAAACAATGTCACAATATCAGAACCCTGTAGACGACTACAATGATTCGCGACGAAATCAGTTTGAGAGCGAGGGTGGGCATGTATATTCGAATAATCATTCTGGTCGGGAGTTAGACGAAGTCGAAATGTCCAAAAGTCGAAGATTTGTCAAGCAAACAGCGAAATTTCTCGTCTCACAGGTTGGGCTCGTCGGTCTTGTTGTTGTATATGCAATCGCCGGGGGATTTCTATTCGAATTACTCGAGCAACATCAAGAAAAATTGAATTGTCAGGAAGCTCAAGGTGAAATCGCCGTGCAATTAACGAAACTTAAACAAAAAATCGTCTCCTATGTGCAATACAACACTTCAGTAACTTCACCACCGCCTTCGCCAACATCCGTTCCAACGTTAACATACGTTCTCGAACGAGACAATCAAACCGTAGCGTATGAAAAGATCGCGACAATGTTATACAGTTACCGAGATTTTATTATATCCATTGGATCAGAATATCGGTACTATGGAGATGACTGTTCGTCTACCAAATGGACACTTCCGAATGCATTATTGTTCGCAATCACGATTATTACTACAATTGGCTATGGAAACATTACGTAAGAATGATTAAATTCAGAGAAAACAGAGTAGTATTTTTTTTTGTTTTTAGACCCGTAACATGTGAGAGACATTACTCTTGAACGCTCGGTATTCTTTTATCAAAAAAGAATTTTTGTATTTTATAGGGGAGGGTCAAATCTGTTGCATATGTTATGCAACAATCGGTAAGATAATCGGAACGTCATGTTTTTCTTCTCAATACGAAACGATCTGTTTAGGCATTCCAATTTTTCTCCTATGTATCGCGAATATTAGCGGTGTGTTGGGAGAAATGTTCCGGTTTGTATATGGAAGAATATGTTGTGGCGCTTGCTATATGATCAAGAGGCGTCGCGCACAAGCACGAAAAGCGAAAGCAGAAGAAAATCGGGTAAATAATATGGATGGCAATGGTACGAAAAGTAATGGATGGGATGCAGATGACAATATAAACGAATCATCAGAAAAGAAAGGACAGTCGAAGACTTTGGAAAATGAAGCTGGTGATGTGGACGAATCGTTGGATGATCAACGTGTGACAGTGCCATTGACGATCACGATGTTAATCATTGCCGTATATATCTTTGTCGGATCGGTGATTTTTCATAATTTCGAACAATGGACTATGACTCAAGCTGGATATTTCTGTTTTATTACATTGTGTAAGAATATTGAATGAATAGAATTTCTTAACAAGTCTAGTTCTTCTCTTTTAGCAACAATCGGATTTGGTGACTTTGTAAGTCTCCGTTTTCATTGCATCAAACATTCCTAATGATATGATTTTTAACGGTATTGAACTACGATTTTTGCTTTAGGTTCCTGGTCAACAAAAAGGTGATCCTGTTTACAAGCTGATTCTCGGTTCGGTCTACGTACTTTTCGGTATGGCAATTTTAGCCATGTGTTTTGATTTGATGCAAGAAGAAATCGTGGCTAAATTCCGTTGGATTGGCCGTAAACTTGGTATTCTGGACAAAGAAGGAGATGAATCGAGTACGTCAAACGACAAGTCAGTGAATAGTGATAGTACAACACGCCCAACAACTGCTGTATCGACGAGAGCATCAACGCCAGCGGCGAATAGAAATGGGAAAATGTCTGACGATGATAATGAAAGTGGCTGGCAAAGGCAATATTCTAGTGGAGGACGCAAACTTAGTCCTCGAAATAATCATGCTCGTGTTCATCCAATGGAAACAGATTCAAACGAAGGTACACTTCATCAACGAGCAGCGGCGACAAAATTTAATTAACAATACCATTTTCCGAAAGTTCTTTTTCATTTTTCTCTCCAGTCTATCACCTTATATTCATACAAATATATATTTATACGCATATACATACATGACATGTTTTTCTCATTGCTTCACTTTATCTTATGTGAAATAAAATCTTCATTCCCTCGATGTACTTTTTGATTACTTCGTAGGTCACTTGGACGAAACAATCAACGAATCGAATATGTTCTATATTTATTTCGACTTAGTGGGCTGCACCCAAGAAACATGGCCTGCCTTTCGACTTTGTACTTTTTTAAAGACGAAGTAGTCAAATTGTAGTATAGACAAGTGCAGTAACTCCGTTGACGTTCTTCACGTTGAATAATATACTTTATTCAGGCAAGTCAAATCAACGGACGATCGATTCTGTGTAAAATATCAATTCATTTGTTGAAAGAGAACGAAATAGTTTATTTGAACAACATACAAAACTAAAAACAGTTTATTCTTTTGTTAATTTGCTTCTATTTCCGTCGAATATTTGCGTTCGTGAAAAGACCGACGATGTGGGACTGTGCTGATGAGATTATTTCTAAGTTCATCCGTAAGTACATAAAAGGAATTGACAAACCATGGAGCATTATCTCGAACTAATTCTCGTACAACATTGCCGCCAAAGCCGATAAAGCCGTCAGCGTTGGCTTCCATATCGGTTGCACCGTCACCGATCATAATTAACCGTTGGTAGCCAAACTTCGCTTTCAAATATTCTATAGCACGACCTTTACCACCGGAATCCGACGTCATTTCTTCTTCATCGAAACCAGCATAAGATCCATCTTCATTGAACAACAATTGATTGGCAAAGACATTTGTCAGTGGGATATTTAATGATTTTGCTACTGGATCAACAATTGAATGAAAACCACCTGTTATTAAATACACCGGAATGTTTCGCTCATGTAATAAAGCAATCAATTCAGCGATACCATCGGTTAATTCTGATGGATGATTTGTAACAAACTGTTCTAAGCGTTGACGTGTTGGTTGGATCAAATTGAGACGTGCTTGTAATGCGGTACGAAAACTCATATTTCCACCCATAGCATTTCGTGTAATGGCTTCGACTAAAGCACCAACTTGTTGAAATTTCGCTAGTTCATCTATAGCTTCATCCACACACACTGTTGAGTCAACATCGAAACAAACACAATCGGCTGTTAGCCATAATTGACGAATTTGATCATGTTGATTCGTGTTTGATTCAGACAAGCCTTTTGTCATTCTCGAATATGGGTAACGCACACTGATCTACGCAGCACAAGACACACACACGCGATAATATTCGTACTTCTTATATTTGTGCTCCTATCGCATCACTTCTCTACGGGTACTATTGAGTGGGTGATTAAGAGACGAACGCGAAACTGATAACATGGGTAACAGATGTACGCAGCACGCATTCGAAGCATGATCCACAATGTAGAATACGAATGATAACGAATGTGGTTAGAGAAATAATGGTTCGATCTTTATGAGAGAAACATGTTTTGATGATTGTTTGCATGATAGCGAAATGACGAAGCGAAATAGAACCAGTACGACCTTCGTACTATCGCTGTTGCATCAGCTATTATTAACTAGATTTTCGATTTATCTGTCAAGGACATTTGTACGATAATGAATCTTCACTGAAAGTACAAGCCCAAATGAAACGTATTTTGTTTCACGGAGGCACTTTTTCTCCATCGGGTCTAATAGAATATGAAGAAGAAAAGATTTTCGTTCTGTAGGCGAACCCTTGATAATTACAAATAACTTTATCAAATGTATCTGACACGTGGTTGTAAGGAACGACGTTCGAAAATTGAACGTTTGAATCTATTCAATTTGAAATCATGTTACATGATGATTATTCATCGGTAACATCTGATTTAGATACTCATACTGATCAGGTAGTCGGCATCGGATGAAATTTCTCATGAGATTTTTTTATTTATTTTCCAAGATTTACCTAAGCGTCGTGTTCGCACATAGTAAACTTGGTGCGGCATTCTATGATTCATCATCAGCTATCATTTATTTCATTCCCGATGTTGAAGAAACATCGCGATTCGATATTACTCAACAGAGTAGACACTTTTTCCATTGAGAATATACTTCGGATGAGTTGAATTATTTAGTTTTAACGGATATTCAACCGTCAATGGTCATTTGTTCAGCGAAAACGAGTGATGAATTTTATAAAGCATTAAATGATCATCTTAATATTCAAACAAGTAAATTTCAAGAAAGGAAATCGAATTTTTCTCGAATGATTTCACTAATTCTAGTTGACGAAAATCAAACAATTACGAATGCAAAACTACAATTGGTTCCACAAGCTTATTTTCGTAATTATAAACATTAAATTATATTTCGAATTATTTCTGTTGGATAGATAAAGACACTGTTGAACGGACGATTCTAACATTAAAATCACTCTATCCATTGTCATGTGATACTGACGAGAAAAAGCGAACGTACATTTCAGCGAAAATGCCGTTTAATATTCCGAATACAGTACACTTGAAAGCTTCTATGATCATACTTTTTTTTTATCGAAAAAGTTATTTCTAGTTAAGTGCCATCGGTGGTCTCTTACCGGTTATCGAAGAGCGATGTCCAGTTCTATCATACGAATTTGATTTTCTCACAGGAAATATTCTGGCTTTACGTCCATATGATCTGTCAGTATAAAACAGCTTGTCGATCATGGGAAAATGTACTTTTCATTCATTAGAAATGCTTTCATGATTGTTCATCCATTCACATTTCGGTAAGAAAGACTAATTGATTCGTTACTCATCTTTTTCTTCTCATCATCTTTGGCAAGAGCATTGGAAATTTTCAATCCTACTGTTCATCCATCGATATACAAAGCAAATACTGCAAATAACCTTCGAGAAGTGAATAGTCTCTTTGGTAATTAACGAAAAGACTCTTTTCATTTAATATTTCGTGTTCTTTTTTGAAGCCTTTCTTAAACGATGTGTGTCATCAGTTGGTAGTCGAAAGTTAAGGTGATTTATTCTTGATCATCTCTTGAGTTATCAAAAGATTACGTATAGATCTTGGTGCTTGAAGCCGTGTCGTTCACCAGACGTGTTAGAACGTCGTTATGATGTCATAGAATTCTTTCTCAATCCAAATCAACATGAACTAATGCGAATGTTACGTGAACAATTGAAATCGATTGTGAATATTCCCGTAAGTTGATCATTCATGAATCAATGTCGATTGATATATTTATATATTAGGCTTTATTGCGAAAAGTGTTTGATCAAAATACTAAAATCACCATATGGAAACAGATAATTGAAGTATGAATAGTAACTTGAGGAAATGAACAGTGTAGCACAGATTTGTTTTAGTCTTTACGAACAATACTTCGAATTCGAATGGCATTAGTATCATTTCGAATGAATACTTCCTTTTTCAATGATCTCTGCACAAAACTGACGGATGATTTACCAAAACTGTTAAATATTATTGAGACAAGTGTAATCTATCTCGAATTGAATGTATTCAGCGGAAAGTCTATCGTTTTAATTGATATAGATTGATTTACAACGAAGTGTTCGCGATAATCGTATCGTTTTCATTGATCCAACCGATCCTGATCTGGAACAATGTGCGTACAAACCACTAACAACTCCTTTATTATTTGTGTTTCATTTCTAGTACGTCAAGATCTCGTTCAATTAAATATCAAACTTCGTCAACAAACTGAATATGCAAATAACCTGCTATTACACTGTGGAATAGACTCCAATTACGCGTTAACGCAAGTAATTTTTGAACCCAAATATATAGTATCGAAAATCTGAACTTAGGACAGTGCGACATTGCTAATAAAAGGTGAAAAATTTGATCATGACGATCTGATTTGGAATGATCGACAAGGACAGACATGGCGATGGTAAGTGTAAATTATCGAAGCAATATTTTGATAGACTAATTTGACTCTATTCATTTTAGTCGTACTTGTGAGATGAACATGACGATCCAAGAAGCAGAAGAAAAACGAAAACAATTGTTAGCAAAAGAATTCAATATTCAACGGAATCTGTCATTGGTATGAATAAGAAATATTCGTTTGAGTAAAAATTGAGACAAGAATACAATGTTTTCAAGGCTCTTCGCGATGGTACAGAGTTGTTCGTTGATGCAACAGAACTGTGCTCACAGCTTGATTGGTAAAAACGGTGGTTTATACACTGAGTTTCCTGCATATTAAATTTAGTTTGCTGTCATTTGCTTTGATTGCCTATGAACAGAATAACTATACACGGCCTGAGTTATTAGAAAATAATCAAATCGAAATTGTTGATGGAAGGTTTGACTTCTGTTTATAACTACTTCAGATAATGATTGAATCCGATTTTAGACATCCATTATTACCAGCAAGTACGGTTGTTCCGAACAGTTATATAAGCGATGCGCATCCCGATAAGACGAACATTCATATTCTAACTGGATTTAACTGTTCTGGGAAAACAGTTTATATAAAACAAGTAAGTATACCGGGACTCATTGAATCTTATTCATCTTGTATTCAGACTGGATTGCTTATCTACATGGCACAAATCGGTAGAGTATTGAGCATCATCTAGCAATGTGATCAATAGTCTTTTTTTAAATTAATCAAGGATGTTTTGTACCAGCTAGTAAGATAAGACTTGGTTTAATGGACAAATTATTCGTAAAGATTCACACAGGTACGCATCAGTCGTCGTCTTGTAGATGAATTGTACAGTAATTTAGATACACATTTAACAATGGGCGTATCGAACTTCTTGCGTGATCTATTTGAGACATCGTTTGCTGTCGCTGGTGCAACGGGTCGATCGTTGGTATTAATCGACGAGTTTGGTATTGGTACAAATGAAGTATGAAGAACTTGTCTTGGTAATAATCGATCGACGTCTAATAGATTGATGGGACATCGTTATTGGCCTCGTTGATAACGATTTGGTCGAAAGCGGAGCAAGCATGTCCACATGTTGTTATTGCTACGCATTTTCATGATCTTATTCAACAACGTTTGATCTCTACGAGTTCAAAAATTCAATGCAAAGTAGAGTTTGATTGCAGAACAGCAAATCTGATAGCGAGCATTTTATTAGACGATGGAAACGATGTACGATGATGACGGCAAACTTGTCTATTTATATCGCGTGATCGATGGTCTGTGTACTCGCAGTCAAGCATTTAGTGCTGCATTAACTGCTGGCTTACCGGAAACTGTTGTTCATCGCGCAAATGAAGTGAAACTCAGTCTGTACATTTTCATTTCATCACTATTCTGTTTGTTTAGTTACTCGGTAAAATTGAAAATAATCAAATACTTCATCCGATTCGAAACTTTGCTGATATGGAAGAGTAATGAGATGTTTCGGGCTTGATTTGTCTTTTGTATAAAATTATTTAGAATGGCTGATCTTGTTCAACGAGCAGTACAAGTTAATATAAACGACACCGACCAAATTACACTTTTCTTCCAACATTTAAATCATATCATCACTCAGTGTAGTAAAGAATGAAGAATTAATGCAATAGCTCATTGTTTTATTCGATACTTTATTAAAAATAAATAAATCATGTTCACATAATTGGTTCATTAGATTTAACTTCTTTTAAAAGTTGATTTAATTAATGTTACCTTCGTATGTCAGAGCTAATCCTTATAATGACCTTGAAAAAACAGTCAGCGACATGCGAAGTCATTATACAAATCGTCTTACTACTGTAAGATGAGCTGGCAAAGTCAGTTTTATATTAAATGTCTGAAGATAGTAGATAGACATACAGAAACATGTTCAAGGTAATTTATTTAACAAAAGAAACAAGAAAAAAGTTGACAAAGAATTTTTTCATCAATATGGTTGACAATATAAAACAGAATTACTTGGCAAACAGTTATTCTACTAAGAGGATTGAAATAATCCAATCTTCTTAGTGTTTGAATGACGAAAACACGTGATCAAATGATAGTTAGTACGTGTACGGTGCACCTGTTTGAGGCGCTTCTGCACTCATTTCTCTCGCCATACGTGAGCAAGCAGTGATATACTCGTTGAAATCTAACGCACCTGTTTGATTAATATCGAAGTTTCGAAACGCTGACTCAGCATCCCGCTCTAACGCTTCCCATGTCATGTTCAGCAGAGATGCTACATAGAGCTTACGAAAACCTTCGCGATCAATAACACCATATGAATTTGTATAAGATAAAAATTCATGTCGCAATCGCTCAATATCTTGAACTGACCAGCCCGTTAAATTTGCAAGAAATGCATCGTTTTCATAGTATGAAGCAGGATTATTACCAGTGGGTAAAGATAATGGTGGCGGGACACTATAACGAGGCATGAAAGGTGCACTGGGAAATGCAGGATAATAAGAAGCTTGCGCTTGTGAAAAAGGCGATCGATATGGCGCAGATTGCTGTGGTGCCATTGGTTGCTGAACCACTTGTGGCTGCATCATCGGTTGCTGAACTATTTGTGGTTGTATCACCGGCTGCTGAACCATTTGTGGTTGCTGTTGCACATACTGGGGTTGTTGTTGCACAGCAGGTTGTTGTTGAAAAGGTGCATAAACTGCACCTTGTTGTGGGACTGCTTGAACTGTGCCTTGGCTCTTTTTGAGTACGTTACCCATAATCGTATTGTCTCTGTTTATATATGTGTAAAAATGTCTATGTAAATAATTGTTCTTTTTTCAGATCGAAATATGTTCGACACAAGTTAGGTATCCATTTAACAGGCTAGATGCAGTTTCTTTGGTTAAATCATGGTCGATACAAAACAAATGACAATGAAATATTCGAATAATGATAACATATCTATACTGCATGCAAGGCAAAAATTAGTCAGGTGAGACCATCTAAAAATAACCTTGTATCCTTTTCTTTCATCTTTCGTTCGTTGCTTTTGTATTTCTATCCGACGCGTTCAGCCGCATAAAACGTATCAAATCAATCGGTGACAAGGTACTTTTCGTAAGAAAACGTACGTCTTACGAATAGAAATATACGGCAATCATGAACAGTTTTTTTGCAACTCGAGAAAAGTATGAAATAAGTTTCCTAGGAAATATTCGAGTACTCTCCAAACATGCCATCAGTTTCGTTCATTATACATCAGTACAAATAGAAAAGTTTATTGTGAACAGCTCATTATAAGACATCGCACTCGAATTGTTCGATCTAATTACAGGGCATCAGGAAATTTTGAAGGTTCTTGTTTCCATCAATAGAACACATGACATAAACTCATATGAATTATGCAACCAAGTTGAATGAGTTTCCTTTGATTGCGTGAATAGGTCTTGATGACAACTAAAGCAGTCCAAGCAATCCTGAATGCTCTGAAGTTTGAGCGACAATGGGCAAAGTTTTCCAACTCAAATAAATGAATATCTGATTAAAAAGATCTTTTCATGTGCTACTCGATTCTATCATTCATCTTCCTCTACAACTATCTTTGTAACCCGAAGAACGACGAGCTGTACTGTCGTCGTAGAAAGAGAAAAGAGTTTCAAAATAGACACGAAGGGAAGCGTATATGTCAAAAAAGAAAGACAGAATGGAGTGCATGAAAAATGATGAAAAGAAAGAGGATTACGCGTGTCTAAGAGCTATCCAATCATCGCATCTCTAAGATTACATCAAGCTCTGTCATTATTATCAAATGGCTGAAATGAAATCAACGGTTGAGAATCGAATTCAGACCGATCCACTTGTCATATCGGACTCGTTCGAAGGATATTCACTAACTTATTTCAAGTAAACAAGTATATATTTTCTCATTTGAAAGTATCGGATATTTTTTTAGCTTACCGTTGCATTATCGCGATGATTTACAGTCTGTTCTCATTCCGTATGGGTTTGTTCAAGATCGTATTGAAGCGTTAGCTAATCAAATATTCGCCGATTGGCATATTAATCTTCCAGAACAATTGAGTAATTTAATTATTTACATCTAAGCGTTAATAACAAACGTTTTGTTTTCGTCCTTCTAGTTTGTCTATGTGTATTAAAAGGCGGTTATCGTTTTTTTTCAGATTTAATTTCCAAAATTCAACTAAACAATCGGTATCTCTCTGTAGGTCAATAACCGTTTATCATTTCTTGTTTTTTTTCTTCTAGTCTTCATAATTGTCGCAGTTTACCAATGAGTCTAGAATTCATTCGTACACGAAATCAGCCGAATGATCAACTTGAAATTATTGGTTTAAGCGATTTACATCGTTTGAAAAATCGAAATATTCTGATTATCCAAGACATTATCGATACGGGTAGCCGCGTGGATATATTGAAACAGAAATTAGAACACTTCCAACCGAAATCTATGCATGTAGTGTCTTTATTTATGAAAAGGCAGTCTGATAAAGCTTGTATTTTCAAACCAGATTATTGTGGTTTTGAAATACCTGATCATTTCGTTGTTGGTTATGCATTAGTAAGAAGACAAAAAGCTTGAATTGACTGGTAACATTCGTTATCTTTTGTAGGATCATAATGAATATTTTCGTGATTTGGAACATGTTTGTATTTTGAAGGAATCAGTCATGTCAAAATATAAAATCATCGATAAACGTTTTACCGAATGAGCCAATGTCTTCGTTTAACTTTCTAATAAATGTCAAGTGAATTTCAAATCAATTTTTCGTTCTCGTAAGATGTGTTTTTCTTTCATTACTCAATCGATATAGCGAGTCGATTGACACGCTTGGTAGCTCCCAGGTTATTTTGTACACGTGTTGTGCATTTGTCTAGCTGTAAAAATGAAAGTTGGACGCGAGTTTTTGATATGGGTGTTTGTATTGAATTTAATCAAACTTTCATCATCGAAATTCTTCAATTTAACAATGACGATGCCAACTTTAAATAAATCGATCGTAAGGTTCCTACTGATGAGAGAAAATAACGACGAGATGTGTTTTTAGAACAATCAGTCTGTTTATATCGCCTTGAAACTGCCAACTGATGAGGAACTATATATAGGTTTGCTAATATTTCTCTTTCGTGGAAGATCGCGTTGTGATTATTGCATCTTTAGTTGATTTTCATCCAATAATTAATATTCAACGGGCGAAATTCATAAGCACGTACCTCTGTTCGAAACCTTATCATACCGAGGCAAATTTCTGGTTTGTACTTTCAGAACAATTGATAAATAGAATATTTGGAAATCTATAAACTAGGCTGGACACACGAGCCTGTGAATCTGTAGATCAATCAGTGTTAATCTACGAATGGTATGAGAGTGTTCCTGTCGTACAATGGCCGAAAGGTTATTTTCTGTTTGATTTTCTGATTGACATTCTGTGAAGTCGATTTAGACGCTGGTCTTCGCGTTGGAACCAATACTCCATATCGATATGTTGTTGTCAATGTTCACTATCGATCGAGTGACTCGAACGATATCTACGCTGAGCGAATCACTTTGACACGTCAAAAGTATGAAAGCGTGGAGTAAACGTCTTTGTCGAGTTCTTCATTTATTGTTAGACCAAAGTACGAGATAGGAATGTATGATATTATGACAAAAGCATTGAATATTCAAAGTAAATGCAAATTTGGTAACAAATTATCTTTGTGACAATGGTGTTTTAGAGGATCGTGTTGATTTTTCTTGTCAATATGATTCATCTGAGATGAAAATATTTTCCACATTATTTTCCTCGAATTTTCAAGGTATATTTATTCAACTCCATGTTCGGTAACAATTACTGGCTAAGAAACTAATTTAGGTAGTGCTGTTTCATTGTATCGCGTACGAAATAATCAAGTACAATCGATTATAAAAGGTATTTTACAAAGAAAGACATTCGACGGTGATGCATTCTAATGATATAGGAAATCTTGCTTGGCCGCAAACATTCTATCAGTTATCAAATGTGGCAGATATCAAAGCGGAAGATTACTTGATTGGTTTGTGTGCATTTGAAAAGCCAATACAAGATCAAATGTTGAAGTATGTATTTCATTGAAACGTTTACCATGTATGATTTCTTCGATGTGTCAGATCTCGTTATTTCGTCTGCCAACTTACACTGATGTTTTATATCGAGCAAGGAGAGAAAATAACGGCAGAAGGATGTGAACATAACGATTTTTCAAGCATTATTCAACGGTAGAATCACTTCGATACATTTTCTACTCTTTATCAGGAATATTTTTAGTTTTCTCCCAGTAAATGCTCATGATACCCCACAAACACTATTCGACATCAATCCAATGTATCCTAAACTACCACCTAACGAATGGATGCAAAGCCAGCTGAACAAAACACTCTTATCATCACAGTCCTCTGACAATGATACGCAAACTATCTACCTGATCTATGCGAATCAGCATCGTTACGACCAATTGATCATTCTCATACACAATCATCCGTTAATATCTATATTTATCATTTGGTTAATCTTGTTGGTGATTGGATTGGTAGTATTAATGTATGTTATCCATCGAGCACGTCGGATTATCGTATATTCATCGTCGCACATTGCTCGTCCAACATCGGTTACTGTTGGTGGTGATACAAGTTCTCTGAGTGGATGGTTAACTAAACGGCGATTTCAACAGTATGGAGATGATGATAGTACTGCCAACGTACCATTGACGAGTAAACATCGATGGGCATCCGATACTGAAGGAAGTGATTTATCCGATACAGAAGTTTTTAATGCTAAGAGGGTTGCCCAAAAAAGTTAAGTTTCACACTTGAAATCAACCAAAGAACATTTCTATGAGTTCGTTTTCAATAAATAAATCATTTTACTCAGATCACAAATAAATATCTATAAGAGAAACATTCGTACGAATTCATCCATCAGCACACAATGAAAGGCGACCTCTACTCATTTAAGTTGCCAGGTGATTCCATTTGAATCATCTGAATGTATGGTGCTTCGCATTTAACAAAATTTCCTTCTATAAAGAACAAGTACAATGACTTATCGAGATATTAGCCGTATGTGAAATGAACTCTTCTTTCAAATGTACAGCACTTTTGTTTTTTGCGAACGCTTAGATCTATGTGAAATGACGCGCGTTCTTTCATACCCACGTTTGATCTCGATGGAAAATTTTCGTCAACCGAATTTTCGTCTCGTGGCTGAATTAATGGCTTGGCTTGTTAAACAGTATGATAATTCATCTTTCCCTCTCGCCTCATTAATCTTGAATTATTTCTAATATAGATACGACCCATTGAGTGAAGTTCCAACTGAGATTGAACGTGAACAAGATCGTGTTCTATTTATTCGTACTGTTGCTCAGATAATTGTAAGAATGTCATGACTTACGCACGGAAGTAGCTCTTTTCTTCTTATTTGATTCTAGGCTACTAAAGCACATGTTAAATTAAACACAAAAAAGCTTTATCAAGCAGATGGCTATGCGGTCAAAGAGATTCTAAAAGTGATCACACCGCTCTATAAAGCTTTAAGAGATAGTGAGAGTAAAGAATTAGATGATGAAGATGATCTTGATCATCGATATCGTTATGCAATGAATGATGACGTAAGTGAAGTTGAATACGAGTTCAACCTCATTTAAAAATTCTCAATTTGTAGATTGGAATATTGAAAACTGCTCGTTCGCTATGTTCAACTATTACTCAGAAAGGTGCTAATCTACATGAACTACTAGGGAAAGAAGTGGAAGCACGAGTGCGTAGATATCTCTATGTCTATATGTTCTAACAAATTTTACATGTAGGAATCTCGTCAAGGTGTGAAGAATCGGGAGGCGGTGTTAACCGATGTCCGAGATGGTATTAAGGAAGCTGAAAATGCAGCAAAAGTATGTTTGTTTTCTATCGCACTAATGAAAAGAAGATGGATTTGTTTTCTCCATAGACTGAAGTGGGAAAATACGATAAACTAGTCGCGAATGTTCAAATCGATGAAGTAGCACTCGATGAAAAGATCGCGAAACGCTTAGAAGAAAAAGATCGTCATCAACGTCGACTGGACATGCTAAAGAGCGTCAGGTAATTAAATCACAATCGAAGACTGCCTTCATAAACATTATCTTCGGGTCCTTTTTCGTAGACCGTCATTCATGAATGACTTCGAAAAATTAGAAACGGATCTCAATGGTCTATATGAAGATTATGTATTGAAATATCGAATATTGTCGTATCTGGAAAAGGAACTAGAGGGACATTTTCGAAATCAACGGGAAAAAGTTCAAGTAAGTGAGAACATTCAAAGGATCAATCTGGCGAAAATTTCTCTTTTACGAATACGAATAGGAAGTATCACGGCACTATATGCAAGCGATTAACTCACAAATGACTGAGCAAGATCAGCAAAGATTTAGTCGACAATTACAAGAGCATAATGACGACATCGGTGTCCAAAGTGATGAGGAAGATTCGGACGAAGATGAGTAAGATTGAATTGGACTAAGCACAACAAAGAAAGATTAATCTTCTCTTGAATCTAGTGATGATGAAGATGAGGACGATGAGGACGAGGGACAAGACGATGATGGTATGGATCAAGCGCCGACATCCCATGGAAACAAACTCAGTATTCAAAATACGACTTGACTTCTCTTCTGATGATAAATACTCTTGTATTCATTTTTAGCAAATGGTAAAGGGTATGGTGGTATGACAGGTGATTTAAGTGATGATGACCAGGAAGCACCACGTGGTGGACGAGGTCGAGGCGGTGGACATCCTGGTATGGATGATGAGGATGATGAGGATGTACGAGGTAGACGAAAACAACAACGAAGACAACAACGCGCAACTTTTGATGATGACGATGAGAATTTCTAATCTAATGTCTTTCATATAATCAATCACTAATGCACTTATAATGCTTGTCTTTTCAGTGCTTGTTTTTTTTAATAAAAATAACAACTCTTCATTCTTCGACTAGTGTTTATAAACCTTTAAGGTATAACGATAAGTGGAAAAGATTGAAATTGATCGTGATTGGTACATTTTTCTCCAAGGTAAGTCAATGAGTTTCTTTTTACAATGTAAGCGTATCCTGTGGAGGAATTGCCATCACGGCATCATTAAAAATGTCGACAACGAGAAACAGTGTTATTCTGTTTCATTGAGAACAACTAACAAATGGCAGGTCGACAAGCAACTGAAGATTCTGATGAAGAATTTCAAGAGATTCAATATGCGAAATTACAAAATAATTACCGACATGCACGAGAAGATCAAAGAGAATATACCATCGAAAAAAAAGATCAACTACGAGTTCAAAGGTAGGATCTAGATGCATTTCAATTAAATATCTGAAAGGGTCCGTTTTTTTCGACTATAGAAAAACACTCGAACAATTGACAAGAGAACGTGATGAACTCGAAAAAGCATTTCGACTAGCTGAAAGTCTTGAGAATCAAAAACGTGATGAAGAGAAAACAAGGAAATTACAAGATTTGGTTCAAATGAAGGGTGAACCATCGATTTTGCCATGAAATTCTTCTTCTCATACAGTATTTTAGATCAATTACAAAGTGATATACAAAATGAAAAAACTATTTCAACAGAATTGGATGTTCAAATACGTGAATGGGAGAAGAAAATTCGTCAAAAACAAACCGAAGTTGGCGGTGCTCATGCTGCAGTTAACTTCAATGCTAATGTTCAAAAACAGGGACGCGTATTTGAGAACCGATTGGATACAGTGAGTGAATATTTATGCGAATAGACTATTCAGGAAAGATTTGATTTTCTAGGCATTAAAACGCTTTAATTCATTACTCTCATCGAATGGTTTATTACGTTCGGAAATTGATAGTCTACGCAATGAACGAGAACGTTATGAAAATTTATCACAGAAATCCGAAAACGAACTTCGCAAGCTCCGGGCTCAATTAGTCGAATGTATTGAAAAATCAGTCACTTCATACGAACAACGGTTAGATTGAGAAATAGTCATGAATCTCAATGGATTTGTTCTTGTTCTATTTTTAGAAAAGATGCTAACTCGAAAGCAATTATTCTTCAAAGTAAACCAATACTGAATGAGATAAACTAATACAATCTCTTGTTTGTAGACAAAGCTGAATCGGACAAATTTACTGCTGAAGCTGAAATGAGAGAACTTGAACGCCAGATATCCCACGATCGTAAACTACGTGATTTTATGAAACTTAAAGCACAAGAGCGACACGAAGACGAAGAACTTGTTACGTATCGTAAACAAAAAGGTTTGTGTGTTATCTCCGCATTGATTTTGCCAATCGAAAACATTTCCTTTCAGCCGCAGAAATAGCTGAGAAACGTCGCAAAGAAAAAGAAGAACATTCTGTTGAAGCATATGAGACAAATTTCCAACAAATTCAAAGAATCAGTGGTGAACCTGATCTACAGAAACTCGTGGATAAATTTATCGAAGGTAAAAATCTTTATTTACTCAATGAAATTTCAATTGATTTTTTTGACTTCACTTCTAGTTGAAGATAAGAATTTTGCTTTGTTTAACTATGTTAATGAGCTAAATAATCAAATCGAAACTTTACATGAAGATATTGCTAATGTGAAACAAGAAATTCGTGATTTTGAAAGTCAAGGCGTTGCATTGCAAGATCGACAAAAGAGACAAGTCGAAGAGATCGAGAGAAAACGTGCGCAAGCGACGATTTTAGCGGATGAATATGAAGAAAAACATCGAGCAGCAAAAAAGCTTCTCGATGATTGCCGAGACGGTAAGTTCGAGACCTTATCATCTTTATCTCAAACGCATTTCTATTAGGTATCGGTTCATTATTCAAAAAGATTGGCTGTGATCGTGGACAAATCGATCATCTCCTACAAAGTCACGAAGGTGTCACTGAGGACAATATGATCAAATATTTAGGAATCATCGAAGAACGAACAAATGAATTATTAACAGCACAAGCAACTATCATTGCTAAAGTAAAGCGAAGTAAATTTGCGTTGTATTGTAAAGAGGATTCGTAATTTAGGAGCAAAATATGTCTCTACGTGAACGTGCACCAAATCTGATTGGAGATGGACCATCGGGACCACCACCGAATGTTCCTATTCATCTTCCGAACACGTAAGTGATGTCTTTTCTTGCTTGTTTGTTTTTTTGTAGAAGATTTTTTCGATTTGGTTCAAATAGAGATGATCGTCGTGATTTTGACGATCGAGATGGCAAAACGGAAGAAGAACTGAAACCATTGACACGTGAAGAACTAAAACAGCGTGCTATCGATCATGTTAGAAACCTTGAAAAACGAGCATTACAGCAAGAACAAAGCAAATATTCCGATATAGCACCAACGTCACGCGAGAAAACTACAAGTGGAACAACAAGAGCCGGCAACAGTGCGGGCGCCGACAAGTTACCAACGAATCGCACACGTTGAACAACGACAGTGAATAAACTAAGAAATCTATCTATATACATATATATATCCATGTTTGTCTGTTATTGTGTTCGAAATAATTCAAATAACGTTTATCATTATTCATAATAAATAAGAGAATTTCAAATGTCTTTCATTTAATAGATGCTATAGCCTGTAAAAGAACATCTCAGCTGATGTTTTCGGTAAGAAAAAAAATGCAACATATAAAATCCTATTTACACTTTGTTTTAAATCGGATCGATATATTTGCATACTAGACGTAGACAAACGTTCTCTATCGAAATATTATGTATTCAATGTTTGTTCAATAGCTTAATCATATCTAACGAAACAAACTTTCGTTGTGAGTTTTGTTATACATATAAAGTCAATGAGGTGATTTGAACCAACATATCATATTGGTAGCCTTCGATAAAAGTTCAAAAGTATCATGTATCATAGATTTATGTAAAGTGATCGGTGAAAAATCTTTTTTCAGAGAAAACTATCGAATATGAGCGTATTTTCTTTCTAAAAATTTACAAGTAGTCAGTAATCTAGCCAGTAGGAACTGATGATGTGGTGCAATACCGTGCGCTACAAAACACACTAGGCTTTAGGAGATAGATATAAAAACCACCAATACAATAGTTGACTTCTGCTGTATAGTTCGAAAAACAGGTGAATATTCCACTACTAAAACACATTGTTCCGTTGCTACTGGTACCTAAAGTCGTTGGTAACGTGCCATTGAACCAAATTTGTAAAAACGCACTACACTTATATTGTTGAACTGGTGTCTGTACTACGATATCACCACTACTACCTACGAATCTTATCCAAGCACCATGATTACTTGCGTTGAATATAGGTCCATTATCACATCCATATGATTGTCCTGTATAAGCGACATTACGTGTTGGGTCATCAATCGATGTATATGACGTACAAGGTGGTCCACTTTGACTCCCTATCAGTACATTACTTGTTACCAGTGACGCGAATGTTGTCGATGCTAAAAAATATGGAAACTTTCTTTTTATGACAAACTTTTTCATTTAAATACGCTAAGATCAGACACAAACTTACTAGTATTCACATTCAAAAGTCCCAGTGTTGTTACTCTCGGTGAATGTTTGATTGTACCAAGTATAACACCTAGAATAATCGCAACAGCTATGATAATCAAAATGGCAATGATAAATGTTATGATCAATGCTCTCAAAGTGCACAATGGTTCCGCATAATCATCTGCCCATCTAAATTATATTTGCTGCACTAGTGTTTCAACGAGATTTTGTCGTACTTATCATAGAAATTGTCGGCGGAGGACATATACTCATTGTCGTGATTAAAACTAAATTCGTTGGACTCTTTCGATGATCCATGCATTGATTTAGAACTTTCGAATGCTTGTGGAGTACCAGTTGAGGGCGGACAATTGAATTGAACCTTTTTGATTGTCTTCTTATTTAAATTCGACTGAAGGATTTGTCTGCTAGGAAGAAACTGTAAATCATCTGGATACTGGTTTTTCCATGCAACTGCAATTGAATTCATCGTGTGATCTAAGCAAAGAAGTTTCAGCTTATAACTAAATTAAGAAATTTTTTGTTATTGAAATTGATTTCTAAGATTTCATGAAAAAAAACAAAAACATACAAAGAAAACTTTTCATTGCATGGAATATGTGCATAACAAAATTGAATTCCAATCAACATGGATGAAAAAGAATAGAGAAATTGTAAGTTATTCTAAGGGATTATGTTGACACTCAAACATTCTTTGACATGGATCGATATTTTTCAGAATACTTAGTGTTTGAATACGAATTTTATTTATTCTGATTAAATAAATCATATAATTCACACTGGTCATCAAAGAAGTTCGATATCAAGAGAAAGTTCATTTTCTCTTCTTCATCAATTACGATTGATAGAAACGATCATTTTTCACAATGATTTGCAACGCAAGAAAATCGGTCTGTTAAACGTGTCAAAAAAAGCGAGTTAATCTTATTGGTAAACGGATGTTCATAAATCATCGAAATACTATTCCCATTGTCATTTGTCTTCAGTCTATTGTCGTTTGTTTCATTGTTTCTGATCATAAGTGATGTTATTACTCACACACACACACACACCGTGTTGATAGATATAAAAGTCTCGTCACTTCATCAATTATCATTCCTTCATGTTTTGCTGGCATCGTATGTATTTATTCCCTTGTTGAAGATTCTTCACATTAACGCGTTCAACGAAACGAGAATAAATTGGTTTAAAGCTTGCTCTTTTCTCATCCATCTGTTCTTCTTTGCGTGTGCCTAACGTCTGCTCATTAACTATTCATATTGGAATTGAGATGTGACTGATGCTTGCATTTTCTTCTTCTCTGCCGCTCAAGTCTCGATTTTATCTCAAGAGACGAGATCGTTTCTTGTCTCGTCGCGTTCTCTCATACAACTTAATATGAATTTCGATGATTCTTCACAAAGAAGAAGGAAAACGAATGAAATTCCAAGGTACTCGACAGTTGCATGTTTAGACATACGAATACGAGAGATCAATTAATTGACGTTCCATCATGTTCGTCTTCTTCTCTTGATGATGATCGACAGTATCGATGTCGACATGCAATGTTCTTCCGAGTATGTATTCATACGAAGATGAATTATTTGACCGCGAGAATATCTCTTTGTTTCGACAATATGTCTTTAATTTGATATCGAGGAACAACAAGCATATTTTTCTTCGCTTGTTTCTTCTACTGATAATTTTCTTTGTAACGCCTCTTTTTTTTGTTCTTTTCTTCTTGATGAACAGTTGTTCCACAGATTAGGTTACATGGTACAGACGCGCGTGCGATGAACATACGGTTTGAGATATCAACCTCGATGTATGTCGTCTTGTCAATTGTTTTCAACACATGACCTTTTCTAATCAGTGAAATAAAATAGAAAACTAAAATCGAACAAAGCGACAATGTTATCGGAAATATTCAGATTTGTTTCTTTGCCTTCCAAACGTGTTCATGCAGAAATCCATTTCTGCTTTCATTCATCTCCTGTCTTTTTTCTAACTATAATGTCCTCTGGGCTCTCTAACACATTGTATACACCAATAGAAACCCTATCCGTATGTGTACACGCGCGAGCAAACGAACGATGGTAGTACGTCTATCGTGCGGCTAATTGAAAAATTAATGAAGCAGATATTTTCAAGCAACCACCTCCTTCGCCTAGCTGAATCCACGAGATAGATGAGACATCAACATCAACAACACACTCCGCAAGCAGCACCATCTTCAATCACCGCTCAACTGTATTCATCGACTTGTCCGTATGGCAAAGTAAAAAAAAAAGTAACAATCATTGACCAATAAGTATCTCACGTTCTTTGATGTGTCCCTTTTTCTTCTTGTCCAGCATGATAAAAGTTAACCTGCTGCGTTTTTAATTATAGATTCTGATATGTATTGAAATCAAACTGAGAAATGTCGATCCGAGATTTCCGTTGATTAGCAGTATTGATTTTTCACGTTTCCTGCACACACACAATCATCGTTTTCTCTCGGAACGAGTAAAACACTAGACAAATGCTGAGAGGTGATTTCTGGCTTGTTGCTATTTGTAAGCCGATTAGACTTAGTCGGCATGTANCTATTTATTCGTACTGTTGCTCAGATAATTGTAAGAATGTCATGACTTACGCACGGAAGTAGCTCTTTTCTTCTTATTTGATTCTAGGCTACTAAAGCACATGTTAAATTAAACACAAAAAAGCTTTATCAAGCAGATGGCTATGCGGTCAAAGAGATTCTAAAAGTGATCACACCGCTCTATAAAGCTTTAAGAGATAGTGAGAGTAAAGAATTAGATGACGAAGACGATCTTGATCATCGATATCGTTATGCAATGAATGACGACGTAAGTGAAGTTGAAGACAAGTTCGAACTCATTTGAAGATTCTCAATTTGTAGATTGGAACATTGAAAACTGCTCGTTCGCTATGTTCAACTATTACTCAGAAAGGTGCTAATCTACATGAACTATTAGGGAAAGAAGTGGAAGCACGAGTGTGTAGATATCTCTATGTCCATATGTTCTAACGAATTTTTCATGTAGGAATCTCGTCAAGATGTGAAGAATCGGGAGACGGTGCTAACCGATGTCCGAGATGGTATTAAGGAAGCTGAAAGTGCAGCAAAAGTATGTTTGTTTTCTATCGCATTAAAGAAAAGAAGATGGATTTTGTTTTCTTCATAGATTGAAGTGGCGAAATACGATAAACTAGTCGCGAATGTTCAAATCGATGAAGTAGCGCTCGATGAGAAGATCGCGAAACGCTTAGAAGAAAAAGATCGTCATCAACGTCGACTGGACATGCTGAAGAGTGTCAGGTAGTTGAAACACAATCGAAAGCTGCTTTCATAAACATTATCATCGGGCTCTTTTTCACAGACCGTCATTCATGAATGACTTCGAAAAATTCGAAACGGAACTCAATGGTCTATATGCAGATTATGTATTGAAATATCGAATCTTATCGTATTTGGAAAAGGAACTAGAGGGACATTTTCGAAATCAACGGGAAAAGGTTCAAGTAAGTGAGAACGTTCAAACGAACAATCTGGCGAAAATTTCTTTTTTACGAATACGAATAGGAAGTATCACGACACTATATGCAAGCGATTAACTCACAGATGACTGAGCAAGATCAACAAAGATTTAGTCGACAATTACAAGAGCATAATGACGACATCGGTGTCCAAAGTGATGAGGAAGATTCGGACGAAGATGAGTAAGATTGAATTGGAATAAGCACAACAAAGAAAGATTGATCGTCTCTTGGATTTAGTGATGACGAAGATAATGATGACGATGAGGATGAGGAACAAGACGATGATGGTATGAATCAAGCACCAACATCCTATGGAAAAAAATTCGGTACTCAGAATACGATTTGACTTGTCTCCTGATGATAAATACTCTTGTATTCATTTTTAGCAAATGGTAATGGATATGGTGGCATGACAGGTGATTTAAGCGATGATGACCAGGAAGCACCACGTGGTGGACGAGGCCGAGGCGGTGGACATCCTGGTATAGATGATGATGAGAATGTACGAGGTAGACAAAAACAACAACGAAGACAACAACGCGCAACCTTAGATGATGACGATGAGAATTTCTAATCTAATGTCTTTCATATAATCAATCACTAATGCACTTATAATGCTTGTCTTTTCAGTGCTTGTTTTTTTTTAATAAAAATAACAACTCTTCATTCTTCGACTAGTGTTTATAAACCTTTAAGGTATAACGATAAGTGGAAACGATTGAAATTGATCGTGATTGGTACATTTTTCTCCAAGGTAAGTCAATGAGTTTCTTTTTACAATGTAAGCGTATCCTGTGGAGGAATTGCCATCACGGCATCATTAAAAATGTCGACAACCAGAAACAGTATTATTCTGTTTCATTGAGAACAACTAACAAATGGCAGGTCGACAAGCAGCTGAAGATTCTGATGAAGAATTTCAAGAGATTCAATATACGAAATTACAAAATAATTACCGGCATGCACGAGAAGATCAAAGAGAATATACCATCGAAAAAAAAGATCAACTGCGAGTTCAAAGGTGGGATCGAGATGCATTCCAATTAAATATCTGAGAAGATCTGTTTTTTTTTCGACTACAGAAAAACGCTCGAACAATTGACAAGGGAACGTGATGAACTCGAAAAAACATTTCGACTAGCGGAAAGTCTTGAGAATCAAAAACGTGATGAAGAGAAAACAAGAAAATTACAAAATTTAGTTCAAACGAAGGGTGAACCAGCGACTCCGATATGAACTTCTTCTTCTTCTCATACGGTATTTTAGATCAATTACAAAGTGATATACAAAATGAAAAAACTATTTCAACAGAATTGGATGTTGAAATACGTGAATGGGAGAAGAAAATTCGTCAAAAACAAAGCGAAGTTGGCGGTGCTCATGCCGCAGTTAACTTCAATGCTAACGTTCAAAAACAAGAACGCGTATTTGAGAATCGATTGGATACAGTGAGTGAATATTTATGCGAATGGACTATTTAGGAAAGATTTGATTTTCTAGGCATTAAAACGCTTCAATTCATTACTCTCATCGAATGGTTTATTACGTTCGGAAATTGATAGTCTACGCAATGAACGAGAACGTTATGAAAATTTATCACAGAAATCCGAAATCGAACTTCGCAAGCTCCGGGCTCAATTAGTCGAATGTATTGAAAAATCAGTCACTTCATACGAACAACGGTTAAATTGAGAAATAGTCATGAGTCTCAACGAATTTGTTCTTGTTCTATTTTTAGAAAAGATGCTAACTCGAAAGCAATTATTCTTCAAAGTAAACCAATAGTAAATGAGATAAACCAATAAAATCTCTTGCTTGTAGACAAAGCTGAATCGGACAAATTTACTGCTGAAGCTGAAATGAGAGAACTTGAACGCCAGATATCCCACGATCGTAAACTACGTGATTTTATGAAACTTAAAGCACAAGAGCGACACGAAG